TATCTGTTTAGCTAAGTGTTTAATTAATTTTTATACATAAGTTCTTTTATATATACACCTTAAGTTAAAACTTACTAACAGTAGAGATCTTTACTACGCCTATGTCTTATAGTTTGCCTTAGTATACTATATAATATTAGTTATTAAAGATAAACTGCTTAGCATATTCTTTAGGTTTAATGCTGTAGATGTCCTCTCCTATTGCACAGTGTAAATAGGCAGTAGAGGTAAGGTAGTTAACAGCTTTTTTAGCATTTTTACTCTTCTATTTTATTTTCTTTATATTATGCAAATTATTTTCTTTCTTAAAGTAACCTTTAAAGTTTTAAATATATAAGGTAATAGCTTTATGTAATAAGGTCTTATTATAAAAATTTTTATATAAGGCAACATACTAGTTCTTTGCTTATATATAGTTATTATAAGGGTAGTTTAATAACTAACATTTTTTTTTATAGCAGATAAAGCACTTTTTTATTTACATGCAGTTGTCTTTAGATTGTAGCCTAAACTTAGATAAAAATCTTCTATATTATCTTCTTTTACATAAAGGGAAGCTTTCTTCTTGTTATGTAGACTCTTATTATGCAGAGTTGTATTAGCAGTCTATGTAGTATACATTAGGCAGTTTCTAGAGGTATTAGTTTACTTTTTAGTCTATAGTAACTTAAAGTAATGCTTATAAGTTACTAAATAAAGCTTTACATAAAAGCTTAATAGTAAACATAGCATGTTCTAGTTCTAGTTATCCTTAATAGGCTTATATAATAGTAGTGTGTAGTAGAACATTCTCTTAGAATTTTATTTTTAGTGCCTTTTATATAAGTGTAAGCTTGTTAATTATTATTTTAAAAACTTTATATAAACTCTTATTAAAGTTCTTTTATTAGTATTATATAAAAGTTATTATTGTCTAGTTTATCTAGTACTAGCTATAGTTTACATTAGTGTTAAAGTAACTGCTTAAGGTGTTATATAAATGCTTCTAGTTATATCTAGGGCCTATGTTGTGCATATAGTACATATTTACCTAGCCTTCTAGAATATCTAGAAAGATGTCTGTGTACTAAGTTTTCTAAATATCTAGCTATTAACATAAATTAATAAAAATCTTTATTTTATTTATAAAAATATTATATAGTTAACTTATATAGTTATTATTTTTTTTTTATGCCTTTTAAAATTATATAATTTTATCTGCTAAGAGTTTTTCTTTAGCAGTTTCCCTCTAGAGTGGAAGTTTGTACAGGCTATAATGTAGTATAGATTGTGCAGGTGGTATTGGTGGTGCATACACTACTGCAGGCGGTGGTGTGTACGATTAAGGGTGTGGAGCAGGCGTTGGGTAGGGTGGCATGTATTGTTCGTACGGTGATTGGTGTAGTGCTAGCTAAGGTGTAGGAGCAGGTGATGCTAGTACGTTTAGTGTTAATAGCAGCATTGTGTTTAGTCTGCTTCTGTGCAGAGCCTTATACAGTAATAGGGGTTGTATATAAAGCCTTTTTAGTGTAATTGCTTTTCCTTATGCTATATTATACAGCTTCTAGGCTTAAGTACCTTTAGTGCCTAGCTATAGTGTAATTCTCTTATCCTTTAGCACTTATATAAGCTCCCTTTTAAACGCGCAGCTAAGTGCTAAGAAGTCTTATAGTGTCTATTCTTTAAAATTCTCTATGTACGCACTTAGAAAAGTAGCGCCTTTCTAAGTTATTATGTGTAGATTAGTAATTATGCAACTTATGTATAATTAAGTCTATAGGCTTGTTAGAGCCTCTAACATGTTAATCTTATTATTCTAGTACTCTAGGCTAGTCTTGTTTTATAGTGTTACCTCTAATATCCTTATGTTCTTTGTAAGTTATTTATATAATAAAAATTATTTCTTATTCTTCCTATTATTACGCAAAGTTATTAGTTGCTAATAAGATTTTATTATAATAGTATAGTTAATTACTTTTCTAGTAGATTGCGCAGGTACTGCTGTTGTCTAGCTACTAGGTTGTGCAGCTTTAATAGCTTTAGTGTGCGCCTTACACTATCTTCTTTTTACTTTGTACAGTAGCAGAGCTTGCTGTGTAATGTAAAGGATTAATGTGCTATTGTCTAGCTACTAGGTTGTACAGCTTTAGTAGCTTTAGTGTGCGTCTTACACTATCTTCTTTTTACTTTGTATAGTAGCAAAGCTTACTATATAATGTAAAGGATTAATCTGCTATCTTAAGAGATAAGTAACTAAATAAAGTACCTTATAGGGCGTAGGTACTCTGCTGTTACTCTTTCTAAAGGATAGGTAATAAAACAAAGTACCTTATAAAGCATAGGTACTTTATTATTACTTTTACTAATTTATAGTTAATTAAATTAACTACTAATTAGTGTTAAATAGGCTTTAACAGCTAGCTGCTTATAGTATAAGCACTTAAGTAGTAAAAGTAAGAGTAGTGTACAGTGTGCACAGCGTACAAGGTAGGTAAGGTAAGGGCAACATGTTTCTAGTTCTATTGCTCTTGTCTTTTCTCTGTACAGAGGAAAAAGGGGATATCTAGATGTTCGCGCACAGAGGTTCGCGCACGAGCATCATGTGACATAGATACGTGATCCTGCTCGTGCGCGATCGTTCGTATCCAGGCCGCGACGCTGCTGCTGCGTACGGACAAATAACCTTATTACTAAGTGCCTACACAAAGACAGCCTTGTCTTCTTTAAAAGTGTTGCTATAGTTTGCCTACTTAAGCTTCTATAAAGCATTCTTAAGAGAGCAGTAACTAAACTAAGTAACATACTTTACACCTAGTAGGTTAACCCTTAGCGCATACATAAATGTAGTAATAAGTATGTAGAGCTTACTACTATTAAAACAACACTTAATATTAATATAAGTGTCTAGCATAAGCTATCTATAATACACTTACATAATTTAATTTATAGTGTTTGTGTAACTAGCATTATTTAACTAGTAAGTAATACTAGCTACTAGTTCTATAGCGTTCTTAATAAAGTAGATAAAAAATATTATTTTTAGTAACATATAATTAAAACAAGCTAGAGTGTTATTAACTATAGTATAAAAGACTTTATAGTAGAGCAAATAAATTTTACTTAAGAAGGTAAGCTCTAGCTTTATAAAAACATTACTGTAATATACCTCTATTTAAATAAGAGCGCCTTTGCAGAGATAATAGAAGCCTGTAGACTAGAATACATCTAAGAAGTTAGTGTGTGTAAGAGTAGCTGTTGTACTAAACTAGCAAGTATAGTCCTTAAGTTAGTCTTATAGCTTAGATATCTGCCTATAATAAGAACAGAAGCCCCCTTCTTAGCTATTATAGGCATAAAGATGTAGCTTATTAATAGTAACTAGCTAGTAGTGTTACCTAAACTTAAAATTTTTAATTACACTTTTAAATTTCCCTTTATTAACATAGCTGTTATTAAACATTTTTATTAGTGTAGTCTTTTAAGCTATAACTACTACCTTTATTAGTACATTCTTAGTCTGTCTAGGCTTCTTAGGGACTACCTCCTCTAGAACCTCTAGTAAAGCTGTAACGCGCTGCGCACGCAGTTTACATGCGCAGGTGGACGCGCTTTTTCTATAATAACTAGTGTTTAGTGTAGTTAGAGCAGTAGGCTAAAACATTAATGCAGTTAAAAGGGTTAGTGTATAAAAAGTTAGAGTGCTATCTAAAGACACTAAAGTAATTAGCTATAAAGAAAAGTAGAAATTAATAGATAGCTACACTTATTAATTATTAGCGTAGCTAGCTAGTAAATTACATGCCTTACTTACCTATAAATCCTAAGAATGTAAAGTAGTAGGTAAAAAAGTCTATATATTAGTTAAAAAAGCTAAATTATTAAGTAAACTTATAGTTACTTATGCAAACCCTATAAAAGCATAGCTAACTATAAAATTACTTAATAAATTAACATTTTTTTTATTTAGAGCTTCCTTAACTATAATTTTAGCTAATAACTAGACATAAGTATATCTGCTTTAGGCAATATTATGCTAGTGTTTTATAGTATTGCTATTGCTGTCTAGAATAAAAAAAAGAACACTAATTCTATAGTAGCACTTATAAGCCTCTTATGCCTGTCCTTATTTAATTGCCTTTAAAGAACTTATAATAAAAGTAATAGGCTATAACTAAGGATCTAGTGTTGCATAATACCTTATAATAACATGCGTCTTCTTATACCTAGTTTGCGTAATAAGTATACTATTATAATTATTATATAAGTTCTTAAGGGCTTGTTTTTAACTAGGCTTTAAGTTATAACTAGTACTGTTTTTAAGCAGAGTAATAGCTTTATTAAAAAGTAGGTGTAAGTTTAGTTATTAAAGCTTATCTACTACTGTTAAGCTAATAATAGCTAGAAAATAGAAACTAGTTAAAGGTTCTCTACATTAAAGAAAAAAAGCTATAAATTATTAATGTTCTTAAAGGGCATGCTAAAATAGTATACAAGCAGGAAACATGTAAACTTGTGTTGTAAGTTAAGATACTTTAAATGTAACTTAATTCTGCAGTTATCTGCGCACTAAAAATTACACAGGCGACTAGACCCTCTAGAAGAGATGTGGTCCAAGCTTGACTTCAAGCCCACAGTCACGTGGGTGGACCAAGAAAATCTCAGGAGGCGGGTCGTGTTATTACTAGACTAGTATTGACACTCTGTCCGATTCCAGAAAGATTTTTAATGAGCAGATACTATTCTTATCATCCTGCGTGTTGCATAATAGCATAGTGTACATTTAATCGGCTAAGCTGTCTGCACCAGTTAGAAAAACATAGAATACGGTACAGTACACATTCCTGCATCTCAATACCTCTGAAGCAAGTGCTATCTAGGATAGAAGCATGCACCCTGTGGGCATCTTCTCTGATTCTAACAAGAGGTTTAACAGATAGACTCCGTTCTAGCCATCGTCGTTATATAATAACATGCTGTAGATTCAGTCAGAGGGACAGGAAGAGCCTTTGCTACTTTCGATTGCACACTAGAGAGAAGCTATTCTATACACTGCTTAAGGAATTAAGTACCTAGAATACCGCCGCTTTTCGCCTCGTTGCAACTTAACTCCTGCTAAACAGTACCCTCCAGCCGAGAGGCAGACGCCACCCAAAAACGCCTAGGCTGTATTCATACAAGAAAAGCATGCTCAACTCAACTCTGTCCCTCGTCTTCCTAATTTAATGATTGTCACCCCCAAGCAGCGGTTGCGACTCGCTACTCTCACCAGCACCGTTCTTGGGCTTCTTTTTACCCCTCTTCTTGCGCCTCTTCTTGCCGCTCTTCTTGTCCTCGCTCTTGCCATCAAACCCCTCGTCCGTTCGGCGATCCTGGAAAACGTCAGCTTCGCCGCCAGTAGTCTTGTCTTCAGATTCGCTCGAACTAGTAGTCTCAAGAACGATCTTTTTGACTCCATTGAGATCCACAATGTTCTCTGAGATGCTTCCGCTACGCGCCGTGTGCCTCTTCATCGGTGCAGGTGCAGATGCGGAGCGAATGGAATGCAATGAGCCAACTGTGCTCGGTGACGGTGGACGGTCCTGTTGCGGACGAAGATCGATCACAATCTTCCCATTCTGGTTGTTCTGGTTGGCGGATTGGGAGTTTGGTGACGTCCGTTCTTCCTTGTTCTGAGTCTTTGAGTGTGAGTCTGGTGATCCCCACGACATTCCCTTGGAGGCGGTCGACATAGTGCCATACCCCACGGCGAGGCTATGCACACCATCGCTGGCATCGCGACCTGCAGAGTCGAGCAGCCCCTCACCAGCACCGCCCTGAGGGGCATGGGATGGAGTAACGATCACTGGTTCTAGCTGAGCTTGCGTATTCTCTGGAATGGTGTTCGGTATGTTGTTGACGAGACCCGGCTTGATCTTAACCGTGTTGATTCGTGTTTGTTTTGGTCTAGTGGCTGCGTTGGATGGGCCTAGATGTTTTAGGTGCTGCATGACTTCAGGGTCGTCGCTTCGAAAAACGACGGTGCCTCGGTCGATGGACCCTTGGCCGCTGCTACGACGGCGCATGAGGAACGTGGTCGGTATCTTTCCATCGCTCGTGTTTTCTGGGACTGACAACTTCCTGTATTCGGGCGCGGTTGAGATTTTCTGAAGCAGGTTCGTAGTTTCAGCCTCCAGCTTCAGTTCAGATGGACGGGAACTATCAGCGATAATGTCGCCTTTGGGGATGCGGGTCCGAGGCGCTGGCGCCATGCGGCGGATAGCTTTGTGAACGTCAATAAAGACGTCGGATTCATCGATGATTTCCCTGGGAAAGTTAGAATTACTGTATCATGTGACTTGGTGTGAAATAAGATCCAGGGGAGTTGTTCAAAGCAGAAATCTGCATCATTTGACAGTCCACCAGATCACAACAAGAGATATAACAGGTGAAGTCTGTGCTGGTAATGTTCCACGTTTATGTGATCACTTACTCTCCGATAAGCTCCTCAATAACATCCTCAAGGGTAACAACACCGACTGCGCCATAGGACTCTCCAGGATAGTCCGAAACGAGCACCATGTGTGATTTCCCCTCCTGGAAGAAGTTTATGATATCTAAGCAGCTGGTTTCAGGTCGTGTCTCGGGTAATGTCGCCAAGGCAAAGTCTCGCACGCGGAGGGCGTCCTCAGGGTCGTAGGTGATGAGCATCTTAACGAGGAGCATGCCGACAAAGTTCTTGGGGTTCTGCGGTGTATGAATGGGTATCCGAGAGTATCCAGCTGAGAGAATCGTGTCCATCATATCCTCATCCAACACAGTGTCGGCTGACATGGTGAAAACATCCTTCATGGGCGTCATGATGCTGCCAACAGCCTTCTCTTTCAAGTCCAGCACTGCAGTGATGATGGTGACCTCGTCCTGGTTTAGACGGTCGTTTGGACTCGTGCCTAGCGTCTTGTGTAGCGTAACGAGGGTCTTTAAGCCAGCTTTCTTGTATGTTGTTCCATGGTCCTCGCCTAGAAGCTTATCAAGCAGTTTCGCGGTGGGCCAAGCAACAGGAGCCATGATCCACATCAAGCCGAGTACGAGGGGGGACATCCAAGCACCGATGGGCAATCCGTAGCGAACACATATCGATTGAGGCACGATTTCGCCGAAAATAACTATAGATGTCAGCAGACACGATGGCGACATGGTGAGAACACTGCATCTTGTCACATAACGTGGAACATGATAGGGAGTAGGGTCAGGACAGAAGTTGGTATCCAGTTGACGCTCTTCCTTATTCTAGCAAGAGGTTCAACAGATAGGCTCCATCCTGTTTTTGTTCTACGTGAGTTAAGAAGATGTAGTAAAGACGAACCGATAAGGACGGTAGAGCTGAGAACAGCAGGCCAACCGCCTCCGAGCGATCTGTCCAGTACAATAGGGAGAGTTTCGTTGGTGATAACGTTGCTCAGAAGTAGTGTCACCAGCACCCAGTGCTTGCCCCTCTTAAGCAGCTTGAGGACTTTCTTTGCATTCTTGCGCTCGGGGCCTTCACCCGAAGTGGCAATGACTTGGAGGTAGATTTCGTCTTGTCCCATCAACCTGCGCAAAGTGTTGTGTTAGCGTGTCGCATGGCAGAGGTGAGAGAGTAGGAGGACGAACGCGATGGTCAAGCCGGCGAAAGCCCCTCCAAGTAAAACGAGAGCGACCGCAGTGCCCAGATATGCCCACAGGCCTAGGTCGCCTGCGGGCTTCGGAGGCTCTGCAGCTACCAGAATGGTTTCGGAGTGTTGAACGGGGATGGCTTTAACGAGGGACGCAAAAGTGGTGAGAAGCGTTGACAAGATGAGGGCGAAACGAGCTCCGTTGAGAGAAAACAAGCCATTGCCGACCCCAAAGGGAACGCAGCAATTAGCGTCCGCCATAGCGAGGCACCTTGAAATGAGGCTGGGTAGACGATACAAGAGCACAGTTTCCTAGGAAAGGGTTGGCTGTGTGAGAGAGAGTGGGAGTAGACGAAACGCGGCTTGAGCGCGGCGGGATGAACCTGGGAGCTCGGGCCAGAGATGCTGCACACGGGCGCACGAACGTATCTGCCAAGAAGCAATGATCTTTGTCGCATCTGTCACTCTGCTGTCGTTCCGATTCTTCACACTTACAGTTTCTAGCGCCTGGACAGAAGGGTTTAACCTAGCTGACTATGACATCAAGGAAAATTGGTCTGCAGCCCGCTCTTTAAGCGCACCCTGTTATCTCTGAGCGCATTAGAGAGTCTCGTTATTATTATTATTATATTAGTATTTATTATTAGACTTCATGCTACATCCGCAGATTCTTGAAATAGGAAAATTCAGAAAGGAACCGCTGGCGTCAGGGACTCAGCTCTGGAGGCCAAGATTTCTGCTTGTTGAGAGAGAGTGAATGGCCCGCGCGCAGCCTTTCTTCCATGTGCAGTGCGGCGGAATGCTAATTATTCGCTTCCGCCTTGGACCAAACGAAGGCGATGGGGATCGTCATCGTGCAGCAGGGACTTGCCTGGCACGTGAGGCGCGTGAACCTCGGAGATGTGTTTCGTAAACGCCGTGAATCTGGGGAACAATGGCCGCTGCTAGCCGAAAGCCAATCCCACCACAAACATCCATCACCTCCTGTTCCCGCTCTCCGTACATACATTCGCGCGCACAGTCAAGCCTTTGCTTCTATTTCTTCATTTCTCTTCATGTCCTAGTCATGCCCTCGAAGACCCCCTCGATCCGTACATTATCGCGCTACCTCCTCCGCCCGCAAGCCTCGTTCCATTCACGGTGTCCAAATCGGTCACAGAACCAGTCCTACTCCTCCGCAGCGGCCGGTGCACGTCTCAATGGTAGCGTAGAGTATGACACCACGTCTCTCCTGCATCACACGTCTAGGTCCGCCCTTGCAAACCCCGAGCTGCCTCCGGAAGTCCGGAAAGGCCAGACCAAGCGCATAAACCTCTACACCGCCGTTAACGAAGCCCTCCGCCATGCCCTGCAAACCGACGAACGTGTGCTTGTCTTTGGGGAGGATATACAGTTTGGTGGGGTCTTCCGATGTACCATGAACTTAGCTACAGACTTTGGGACAGAACGCGTGTTCAACACGCCGCTGAGCGAGCAGGGGCTTGTGGGGTTCGCAATCGGTGCAGCTAGTGAGGGCATGAGGCCGGTAGCAGAAGTGCAGTTCGCAGACTACGTCTTCCCAGCTTTCGACCAGATTGTGAATGAGGCTGCAAAGCTGAGGTACCGAGCGGGGACGACAAATGTGAACTGTGGAGGACTGGTGATTCGAATGCCCTCCGGGGTCGTAGGGCATGGTGCACTGTAAGAATCCGAACCACTTGTACAATCTTTCTCTGGTCATACTAATACTCTGCGTGTTTAGTTACCACTCTCAATCTCCCGAGTCCCTCTTCACCCACATTCCCGGTCTCCGCGTCATAATCCCCCGCTCCCCTGTCCAGGCTAAAGGGCTCCTCCTCTCTGCTATCCGAACAAATGACCCCGTCATATTCATGGAGCCTAAAGTCCTCTACCGTGCTGCCGTCGAGCAAGTCCCTGTAGGTGCATACCATCTCCCGCTCGATAAGGCCGAGATCCTCAAGACCGGCAAAGACGTCACGATAATCTCATACGGCACACCATTATACACCTGTTCAGCAGCGATAGCAGCAGCAGAGAAGGACTTCGGGTGCAGCGCAGAGTTAATAGATCTGCGGACAATATACCCGTGGGATAGAGAGACTGTATTGGAAAGCGTCAAGAAGACGGGGAGGGCGATTGTTGTGCATGAGAGCATGATGAATGCAGGTGTTGGGGCTGAAGTAGCTGCTACTATACAGGAACACGCATTCCTAAGGTTAGAAGCTCCAGTTAAGAGGGTTACGGGGTGGGCGACACATACAGGGCTTATATTTGAGAAGTTTATCATTCCGGATGTGACCAGTAAGTTTGCGACATTCCCCAAGACTTGTTGTCGGTGCTAATGCCCACAGGGGTTTACGATGCTATCAAAAAAACCATAGATTATTAATCGAGAGAATCAATGCTTAGCTCGGTATGTTTGGGCTAGTTAAGTCATAACGATAGGTACCTAGCTATGAGTCACCTTCCGTAGAGAAAATGTGATCCCAGGATTCCTAGCTACTGTGAAATTAGCCTGCCTTGAGGCATTGATTTACTATCAACTGCAAACTAGGAGCTATTAAAAAGATATCAACAGGAGGTTAATTATTTACTAAAAATAAACCAGGGAGGACTCGCAATAAGGAACCATCTGCAATTCCTCTGCTGCTTGTAAGAAGACCCTACGGCGACGATGGCGTTGAGCACGTGATCGCCCTGTCCAGCTGTGGCAGGTAGCACCTTCCTTTGATCGAGAAAACTCATCTGCAACCTCTAAAACTCACTACTTCCCCTAAACCCCAGTCGCCGACCTTTGGCCTTGCTGTTCACAGCGAAGTTTCCTCACTGTGCTTGCTTTTGTTCCTTCTCTCGAGTCTATACCAGCGACGCATCCCTTCGCTATCGGGTGTGCTGACCACACACCCATGTCCTTTAGAAATTTCTAGCACTTCCCTGATGCATTCTAGAATCTCTTCATATTCATTCTAGGCCCGCCAATTCAGCGTCTCAAATCATTGAGGCAGCCTGTCTCGTGTTTGATCGGTCGCAGATGATGGCGCCTTGCCTCCTTCGTGCACGGATTTTTTTGGGCTCTAATGCCTCGTGGTAGAATGGAACCTTGTATTTTTCACTATAAAGACCCAGCGCCCTGGTCTTAAGACCGAAGCTTTTCTCCTCCCCACAAGTTTCCAGCATGGACCACCGACTAGAACTACAACGCCAATGATGGCGACACCGACACCATCAACATTCACCATGAGTAGTGGACCACACCTTGGGACCCAACCAGCCCCATATTAGTAGATTCATTTAGTGGTGCCGCACAGTGTTACGCCAATTATTCCCAAGGTAACTTACGTCGCATGCACTCAACCTCTCTCTCTCTCTCAAGGATAAACCAAGTCTTGAATCGAGAGAGGGAATTCTGCAAGTCTACCCGAAATATACGCAGCTCTCGGCTTATGGAATTACTCTCTGAGCACTCGCGACGCAAAACCGAACTTTCGGTGTATAGATAGCGACGAGAGGCCTTCGAGCAGAATACAGGGGAGGTTGGATCTTTTCAGGCTGGTTGGACGCTACGTAGAATTTGAGAAATCTATTTCTGTAGTATTGCCAACATCGTTTGGGAAAGTAGTACTCATTTTCCTGGATCTAAGTGGGTGCACTATTTTCTCGATCCCCATGCCTCACAAGGCCTCTATGGCCAATATTCGGCATTTATACGATGCAAGTCACAGGTAGTATCACTTTGTCCTTGCTTAGGAACCGAAGATTAATGCTACCAGTCACGACGACCACCCTAGCTTTCAAGCACCGAAACCCATTCTTTACCGCAGTCTCCAGGCCGCTGTCTTTATTCTCTCCAATTCCCGTTTTCCGAGATATAAAAACAATTGTGGAGGTGCCGTGCTTGCTATTCTCTCGAACCAAGACGTGGTAACGCCATGTGCTCTAGAGATCTTTTAAGCTTTGTAGCTGCAGTCACACTCTCATATTTCTGGAGAGTCCTTGAAGCGATTGAACCACTCAGAAACCTGCATACACGTCTATTCGCTTGTTGTCAAACACAATGTACGCTTACATACGTTACTACGCAAAGCTCGGCTTAATTTTCCCAGCCACCCTCTCCATAACCCTCTCCGGCAACAAACTCTCATAAACATGGCTAACCCACTCCACACAGACTCTCCTCGTAACCGCCGGATCTATGATCTCCTCAACGCCGAAATGATTCGCCGTCCGAACCGGATTCATCAACCTCCTGTAATCATCTTCCAGCTCTTTATACCGCTTCTCTCGCGCCTCTGGGCCCTCTTTCCGCTCGATCTCCTTTAGTTCAAACGAGTGCCCGACCTCAATGCCGCCTTCGAGAGGAAGCGATCCCCACATGCCTGAGGGCCAGGCGACGCGCATTCTGGGATCACGGCAGTCCAGCATGATGCCGCCGGCGACGCCGTAGACGCGGCGGGTTAGTATGGAGAATATAGGCATAGTGGTGCTGTAATATGTCGTGGCAAGCGTGACTCCATGACGCATAGTCGCTGTTCTTTCCGCAACCGTTCCAATAGCATATCCAGGGACATCGACGAATTGGATAAGCGGGATGTTAAATACATCTAGGAATTTCAACATCCGTGTTACTTTCTGCGACCCTAGGGCATCGAGTGCTCCAGCATTAACTTCGCAATTCAGGCTCACGATGCCGACGGGGCGGCCGCCGAAGCGAGCAAGGCCCACGATAGCGGTTGTGCCCCAGAGTGCGCCAATCTCGAAGAAGGAACCCGCGTCAACTACTTCAGTGATTATTTTGCGAGGATTGTACATTCGGTTTCTAGCCCGCGGTACTATCGAGCGGAGAGATTCTGAGGTGCGGTTTATAGGGTCGGTGCATTCAACAACAGGTGGTAGTTTTGTGCCGGAATCGGGAAGGTAGCTCAGCACGGTACGCATTTGCTCGAAACATCCAGCTTCATCGGGTGCGAGATTGTCAATGGTGCCGTTGGTGCAATGCATGCTTGGACCTCCTAGATCCGTAAACGACAACCCTTCTTCGAAAGTGGCATTCTTGACTACGTTCGGTCCAGCGTTGAATAGGGAGCCAATGTCGGCCGCCATAACGGAAAAGTGACAGGCGACTACTCGCGCTGCTCCGAGACCTATGGCTGGACCAAGGACGGCACCGAGGTTGGGAATGCCCATGTTGAGTTGCTGAACGACTTGTGTGAAGGAAGGGAGTGGAGGGACGTAGGAGAAGCCGGTTTTACGGATCGTGGTGACGGAGCCCCCGCCTGAAGAGCCGTCGACGAGTTTAATGATGGGGATTTGGAGGGCTATGGAGAGCTTTTCCATGTACACCTTGAAAATCATAAGTATAGTATGGATGGACAGAGCTAGATGGCTAGAGGCTTACGGTTTTGTCCATTAACGCGCCATCGGCATGACCAGCGCGTATGGAGAAGTCATCAGCTGTGAAGACGATCTTCCTACCTCTGAGTTTTCCGAATCCTGCATTCGGCATCAGCAGCAATTCCCAGCAATAGCCATTAGTGGAACCCACCCTGCACATTATTCGACGGCACATACTCGACCGGTTCTTCCTTCACGGGCCCCAGCTTCTTCCATGTTACCGTCCCGCTCACGCTTCCTACCTCCTGAAAGCTCCCCGGATCTAGTAGCTGCTCTACCCGCTCCCTGACCCACAGCTTCCCAGCTTGTTTCTGCCTCACATAACCTCTGTTATCCGGATCAGGCGTCGCTGCGATTTTGCGGAGTGTCGCAATTTGCCCGAGAATATCGGAGTAGTCTGCCGGAAGGTCTTCCTCGGATCCTTTACGCCGACGACGTTTGGGCGTGTTGGGCGTGGGCGAGATGTGGCCCGAGACTTGCGCGAGACGGTCTTTTGCGGAGTTGGATGACGAGTTTGGCAGAGGCTTGAAAGTTGACGGTATATCTTCGTCGCCAGCCATTGTTGAGGGGACTTAGGACTAGGGATGGCAGTTACTGGAGCTCCAGAAAGGGAGCAATTGGGTGGAATTCACATCGTAGAGGATACTAATAATAGGGTGAAGTGTGGAGTCTGGGGAAGCTTGGGAACCGAGGCACTTTGGAGCTCGCCCCACCATCGGACCTCGTTCCACTTGACATCTTCCGCTGTAAGGGGGTAATTCATCATGCTATTACAGATATTGTACAATTCGCCTGTGAAAGGGATGTGGATTGATGTTAAGCTTGATTGATATTAAGCCGAGGTTCCTACTTCTTTGCAACTCTTGAGCACTGGGTTTGTCGTGTGCTGTTTCGAGGATATCTGCCTTGGCGAGTCTTGCTTGCGAGTCATCTATCTGCATCTATACATTTGATGGTTGTATATCTGTTGTCATCGAAGGCGTCAAAGTATTCTGAGCATAGGAAGTATAAACGATAACATGTCTCGACCTCCACAACGACCCATCAAGCGGCTTCTAGTCGCCAACAGGTCCTCCATCTCCCCAATCCCACCCCTACCTTCTTCCATTAACCAAACTACAGAGGCGAAATAGCAACCCGAATAATCTCCTCCGCCCGCGAACTTGGTATCCAAACCTACGCAATCTACACCTCTGGCGATACATCTTTTGCTGCTAGGGCCGCTCATGCCATCCCACTGCCCTCCGCGGCAACATTCATGAATATTCAAGCTCTCATTGATCTTGTCAAGAAACATCAAATCGATGCCGTGCACCCCGGTTATGGGTTTTTATCTGAATCTGAAGAGTTCTCGCGCAGGATGTGGGAGGAGGCTGGGGCTGTGGTTGTCGGGCCTGGTTGGGGCATTCTGGCGAGTACGGGGGATAAGCTGAGGGCGAGGCTTTTGGCTGCGGAGTGTGAGTATCTCTGTGTTTCCTCTCTTTTTTTATTCCGGGGGGGGATATCCATGGGATATGTATGGTTGTAAAGACTGTGGGAACTAATGGATTGAAGGTAATGTTCCTGTATGTCCCGCATTGTCGACTTCTACATCAAACCCCACAGACGTCCTGAAGTTTGCCGGAAGAGTCGGTTACCCTATCATAGTAAAAGCTGTCGATGGTGGTGGTGGCCGAGGTATACGTTTAATCCATAGTGAGGCTTCTCTTCCTGCGGCTGTCAAACGTGCCGTCGAGGAAAGTCCTTCCAAGCAACTTTTCGCAGAGAAAGCAGCTGTTGATGGATTCCGTCACGTAGAAGTCCAGATCATTGGAGATGGCCGGGGTAGTGTGACACATCTCTGGGAAAGAGAGTGTAGTATCCAGCGACGGTACCAGAAAATCGTGGAGTTAGCGCCTAGTTTGGTGGGAGATCGGAAGTTGGTGGCCCGGGTTATTGAGGATGCGTTAAGGATGGCGAGACACGTAAGCTCTCATCTCTACAGTTTGGAAGAGAACTTGCTGATATGATGTGATTTGTATCTAGATCCGGTACTTCTCCCTCGGGACATTTGAGTTCCTACTAAATCCTACAACGAAAGAATACTATTTCTTAGAAGTCAACCCACGCCTTCAGGTCGAACACACAATCACAGAATCCATATCTATGACTGACATCGTCAAAACTCAACTCCTCCTTGCCCAAGGCTCAACCCTCACAAATTGTGGCCTCCAAGATGACCTCCGTAGACCAGAACATCCGCCATCCGCCTACTCCATCCAATTCCGCATCACCTCCGAAAATGTCCAGAGCGACTGGACTCTCTCCATTGGCAAAATTACATCCTTCCAATTTCCATCCGGGAATGGCATAAGAGTAGACACTCATCTTATCAACGGCCATCCCTCGGTCGTTTCTGCAGATTTCGATAGTCTCTTGGCAAAAATTATCATCACGGCATCGTCGTGGCCGGATGCAGTAATGAAAGCACAGAGGGCGTTGGACGACACACAAATCTCCGGTGTCAAAACCAATTTGGATATTCTCAAGGGTATTGTCGCACATCACGATTTCATGAACGGAAAGTGTGATACGCAGTGGCTCGAAAGCAAACAACAAGAGCTACTTAACACCGGCCTGCAGATCTCCGCATCACGGAGTTCAATTGGCATGCCCGAGCAAGATTCTACAGGAGGGGTTTCAGCTCCCGCAATTATAGCCGCGAATACATTGTTCAGGAAAGGGGATGCATGGTCTATTACGCTCGCATCTCCAAACGACCAGAAGAGTACTTGCACTCAAGTACCACCCCACCACCTCGAACTCACCCGCGTCCTCCGCAACGAATTCCCGACGTCCCTCTCCGCTGACATTCTCTTCACATCGCCGTCTACCTCCTCATCAACACAGCCAAGAACAATGCCCTACACTCTCACCCTCACAAGCACAACCTCCAGCGCCGCCGCAGCAACCTCACACCACCGTCGCAGCAGCCCGTCTGATCCATCACATGTCAGTATTCCGTTCCCTGGGAAGCTTGTCGAGGTGTTAGTGGATGAGGGTGACGTTGTGAGGGAGGGTGATGTTGTTTGTGTGGTGCAGCAGATGAAGATGGAGCTTGAGGTACGGACGCATAGGAGTGGGAGGGTGACATGGGTAATGGGGGTAGAGGATGGAGAGGAAGTGGGCGAGGGGACTTTAGCAGCTGTTGTGGAGGAGGGGAGGGAGGCGAGACTTTGAGACAGGGGGGAGATTTAGAGACATAGAGTTATATACATGAATAAAGTCTAGAAATTCGAATTGAAGCTAACAATGAGGATGGATAAGAAAATGCTCGGGTTTCAGGAAGCTCGTTGATTGTGATAAGGCAGCTGAGAAGCCTACTTGCAGTACCCGCCCTTACACGTCCAAGGAGACTGGCAGGGCACCGAAGCACTGCAATCCCAACCCCAGCATCTACACATTAAAAGTTAGCACATACTCCTTTACATGGATCGAATCTAACTCACCCCCAATCACAAGTCGCACTCGGCTTCGGGGCCGAAGTCTTCGTCGTCGTCGGTTTGAGTGTGGCACTCGCAGTCGACACTGGCACCGTCACCGTAGTATTCCCCTCCTCTCCTCCCCCACACGACCCCGAGCCCGAAAGTAACGTCTGTTTAGTCTGTGAAAGCGTATTGCCATCCGTCATAACGATCCTAAAATCCGCCTCCTTATCAAACTCAAACCAAGACATAGACACATAATTCGGGTATTGCTTCTTCAATCCCGGAGCCACAAGTTGTTTCAACCACCCCTCCTTCTGCGATCCGCCGGCGCCCGTTTCCCCAATCGCAAAAGGAAGATTATACGGTTTCGAAAACGTGTTATAAAAGTCGCCATAGAATTGCTGGAAGAGAGAAGTCCCAGAGACATCTGCACCAGCCTTGGGGTAGCAGTCGATTCCCACAATATCCACGAATTCGTTCCCAGGCCACCAGGAGGAGAGGGAGGCTGCGGAAGCGCAATTCGGGCTCCAGAAACACTTCACCTTGCTATTTCCTTTGCAATTCGCGTTGTAAATGTTCTTCCACGCAGTGACAAAGTCCGCGGCTGTACCATGATATGTTCCATCTTGCACATACCAGTTCATTTCATGGCCAAAGCGTAGCCAGACTTCTATCCCTTCGTCTGTAAATTTCTTCATGACAGCGGCCACTTGGTCCGCCACGCTAGTGGAGATTTGGTTGAAGTTGATGGACGGCATAACAGATGCAACGAAAACGGCCCCTGAGGCTTTCACATCGTCCATGATAGCGGTAAGTTGGCTCCCGTCGAAGGACGAGGATTTGATTTGTGCGTACCACCCGTAAGTGGATGATTTTGCGCCGAGTGCCGCGTTGATTTGGGACATGGTGTAGCGCGGAGAAGCAGAGTCGCCTTCTGAGGGGAGGAACCCGATAGAGATGCAATTTGTTGTGAGGCCATTGGAAGGAAGACCAAGATTGGTGGTGCCTAGTGGATACTGAGTGAGAATTTGAGAAAGTGAGAAGTGAATGCAAGGTACCTCGTTTCAGGACTTCAAAATTGTCATTTTGTGGAATGCTGAGGGCACAGCAAAGAGAGCAGGCAGTTGCTGCCAACGCAATAGCATAGAGCGCAGACTTCATTATGAGATGAAACGAGAGGCTATTGGGAAAAGAACCCAATATTGCAGAAAGACAGAGGTGTTTACTGGTGTTTGAGCCAACCACGGCACCTACTTACGTTTTATACATTCGCCACAGGAGGCTGAAGCTGAAATTGAAGCTCCAGTCAAGTTCCATCCCGCGAGCCCTCCAAAAATACTTTCCAGTCTTTCACTCCGTCGCGCACGTCCCTGCCACCTGCCTGCCCTATGCTCACGCTTCGTTTCGATTCAATTAGTTGGACAGGCTCTCCTTCCGATCGGGCCAAGACGACCTGACATCATGGATCCTTCAAATTTCGGAGTGGGCAGCTGAAACGTGGGGTGCAGGCTGTTCCTGACCATTGTGCCTGTGAGAAGAGCAAAACAACGCCATGAATGAAAATCTATCATGCACAGTTCGGTCATTGTTGCCAATAAGCGTTATTTTAGGTTAGTGACGGAGTTCGGGGGGCTGAGTCGGGGGTTGAAACATAGATCATGTGACCAGGTGGTCTGTGCGCCTGTTAAGACCTGGATTAGGATAAATGCTGCGAGATTAGCGGAGGCGAAAAGGTGATTCTGTTTCTGAATTTGATGTTCATTGCGACTGGATTTAATTAGATACCTAATCTGTTCTTACACGGGAGCTATTTGGAGCCAAAGCTGGGGACGAAAGTGGTAAGTGTTATTTTGCTGGATGATCTGATCATGTAGTGCAAGGGAATTTTGTCGTTTGCAGACCTTTCTACCCTTTTCGTGATCCTAATGTTAATTTGATGTTACAGCTGCTTGTATCATCGAACTTCGGCCACACAACCCTTTGTCCAGCTAGGCCAAATCCCTCTAACATGCCGGCCTCTCACGCCATCCCACTACTCCCACAAATATCCATCCACCTTTCCGTTTCTTTCTGCAAAATCTCAATTCCCATATCAATTAGCTTCACTAGCGGCATCTTCGAGGCATTTTGTCTTAGGAACTCATTCCAGACCTCCAGCAGCAACTTATTCACGTTCAACTTAATCGCCCCGTTTTCTATACACCGCTTCATGATCTCAGCCGTGAAGTCATTCGTTCCATGCAAGCAGACCAGCACACGATCATTGGTCTGCTTGTTTATGCTTTCCAGGCGATCGAAATGTATTTGACCGAGTGCTGGACCCTGAGGTCCGTAATCGCCGTGAATGTTGCCAATCGAAGGGGCAAGGATGTCGATTTCGGCTTTGATGAAGTCCTCGACGTCTTCAGGGGTTGTGAAAAGAGCTACATTAGTTCAGCACTGGCCTGCTCTGCACCGACTGTTCTTCGATTAGCTGAGGTGATCGTACCTTCTAAATTCCCGGTACCAGCAATCCCGTCCTCTCCACCATTAATTCTTCCGCTTTCTGCCTCCACTGCAATTCCTCTCTCGTGACACTCCTTTGCAAGTACTCTTGTCTTTTCTAAATTTTCCTCTTTCTCATAATGGCTCATGTCCACCATTATCGAGTCTACTGGAAGAGTCGTCAGGATTTCTCTGATATGCACTTCATCTTGGGCATGGTCTATGTGTAGAGATATCGGGACTGTGGCGGAATTGACAGCAACCGCAGCGGCGTGAGCAAGAGTCGGGAGCTGTTTGAGCGTAGAAGGAAATAATTGCAGGATTAAGGGCGATCGTTTCGATTCTGCGGCGCGGACTAGGGCCGTGAGTTGTTCGATGTTGTATCTGAGTAATATAAGCTTTCTAATAGCTGTGAAGGGATGTAGAGTAAGCTCACGCAATTGCTGCAAGCACTCCATATTTTTCTCTCGCTGCCTTGTTCAGAATTTGGAGTGTCCGGTTTGGTTGCATTGCTGACGAAACGAAATGGGTTTTTGCGTCTTGGTGCGGGTATTCTTGTGTAAGTTGCGTAGAGGTTGAAAAGCCGTTGTTGTTTGGGTGTGAGGTGATGTCGGCACATAATTATGCATTTCGGAACCCTTCCGACAACGGAATCGCGGCTTGCCGCATTCGGAACTGGCAGATGCTTGAAACTATGCCCTCGTCTCGAGGCATCTCAGCCTGGTGATTGGCCTGATTTCGATCATCGGTCCGACCCTCACTTGCACACTCTCCCACATGCGTAACACGACTCAGTTCCAGATATTCGATGAGGTGGCGGAGAAGCTTATGATTCATGCATGTTGCTATGTTTTGATACTTTTTGTCTGCTGTCGCGGCTTTTGTGGTGCAATGGTCGAGGATTGAGGATCTTCGAGCCTAATTTCGGATTGCTTCCGATGGTAAGGGGACTTAGGCGCGCTTTCGGGATGATATCGAGTACCAAAGGTCTCTCTTGACTTTGGTAGGGATACTAGGGAGAAATACACTAACGGACGGGAATTGGAGCGTTATACATCTAGACATTTTCAAATAGGTGCCCAGCTTGCAGAGAATGGGGAAAGATACAATAGTTCATGGCTCCTCTTTCCAATAATTTGCCCAGTCGTTCAGCAAAGTCTTCGGTGGGAACTTGCTCACATTTAAAATCTTTCCAAAAGTTGTAGGATCGTCGCTTGTTTCGACGGCGTTTGGGCGCAAAGACCAGCTGGGCAGGAGATCAGTATCGCAGCCCTCTGCATATAACGGAACGTTTGCCTTTGAAGGGTATTAGCTTACCGGTATACACTGCCTGAACAAAAGCCGTTGCCTATGTCGAAAAGCATTCATGCTATCAGCAGAAGGCTAGTTGGTGAGGACAACAATCCTAGCAAAATGAAAGCTTTGAGTAGCGGTAGCATAGGATGGCGGGTGGTTCCAGATCGGAGAAAATGACCCTGACTCTTTAGAGTATGACAGGGGCTAAATCGGCTGAAAATTAGGAGGCAAAATCCGGTGGCGGTCTTCAAACGCCTGAAGGATTGTGTCCCCCTGTTCCATTCGTTTCGCCATGTCGTAGTCTTCTCAACCGCAGCGAAATCTACACATCGTGCCGTGATGTATAGAATCCTGGTAGCAAGCCCATCTGGGGTGAGATCTATGAGCCGTTTGCTTAGCCTCCATATTGTTAGCGTGGGTCGACTCTCTCGAAATACCACCCAGATGTCTTGACGGAGCCATGCCCACCACGCTATTCTTCGAAGCCCATGAGCCGATTGGCCATTGTTGTCTTGGAATCTTTGAATCCAAAATATTCTGCGTAAGTGCCTCTCCCAATCGCCGTTTCTGCGGAGCCATTGGCATCAAACATCTCATATGTAGAAATCAATATGGCAGTGCCTATAATCTCAGCTGATCGGCTATATGAACGATATAAGAGGTTCTGAGATAGGTATTAGAGCGTCTCGTAATAGTACTGTGTTGCGGCCTATAATAGTGGATCAGTTGGTTTACCCATTGTGGTTGCTATTATTGGACCCAGGAGTTTAGACATTGAAATTAGAGGGTTGGTGCTGTAGGGTGTCGAGATGTAGAGCCTTGTGGCGTGCTGCGACAGCAAGCATAGATTTGAGAAGCCCAACATTGTGCACAGCCAGCTGAGGCGCTAATGTTGAGAAAAGTCTTAAGGGACCAAAAAGGTCCGGTATCGGGCTGACAACGTGGGTGAAATGCTGAAAGAGATCCAACTCATCATTATTCAATGGAATCGTCTCCAGGGAGTTACAGGGCTTTAAAGATGCTTGTTGTGTTTCGAGGCTGTGGTTGGGGGACTGAGAATTAGGGTCCTTAGCTGGAGTCTCCGGGACGGGGCTCTGCCTTTGGGAAAGGCATATATCATCGAACCCAAGGTTATGTTTCTGAATTTTGTTAATGGTACCACTCGAATGGTGCGCTGTTTGGTGATGGAAGGGAGGCGGTAAACGTCAATGGCGACAAATCAAATACCAGCTCAGTGTCTAATACTATATCTTTGTCTATTATTAAGGGTATATCTAGCAGTGCTAACGTTAGTAGGTTTTTATATACTACTAGGTAAATTTTAAGTAACTATAGTAAAATCAGCTTATAGTTTGCTTAACGTAACTATTATAAGGACGGAGCTCTGTACCACTGCTCCAATACAACTAAAAGATGCGAATAATCAACCAACAGTTGATTCTGCGTACAGAATAGTATATATACCTGTCGTTCGTAAGGACCGTCGTACAAGCCCCTTCGGGCCTTACGATGCATTATCGTCCTTTGTAAGGACTAGACTAGCGGCCTTACAACTATTTTTATATATCTCCTCTTTTAGTTAACTATAAGTATGCTTAATATAAATATTTATGCCTAATTTATAAGCTATGTAGACTAATTCAAGCTAAAGAAGATAAAAAGTTTAACTTAGGTATATTAAATATAACGTTACTATTAACTAGTATTTGTATAAAAACATATTTACTATTAAATACAAAGCTATAGCTTTATAAGAGTTTAAAAACATAGTTAAATTAACCTAAATTAGCATTTAATAAGTGCAGATGTAGTAGTAGAGGCTATTTATAAATTCAAGACTATAGAGGTCTAAAAAGTTGTAACTAGTTAGAAAATACTATTAAATAGCTACTAAGGCTGCAGCAGCTAAGAGTCTTTCAAATATGTGTATTAGATGACAACTACTAGCGTAACTAGCTAAAATAATTAATCTTCTGTACAGAGTACTTTATTTAGCAGGGTGCGCAACATTCTCGTATGCACAGCTTCGAGGTAGCTGAGCTTACTTGTTGAGCACGCGTTGATGTGGGAAAATCGGGCGTTAGGTAATAGTATTAGGCGTTAGCTGATAAGCTACGGTACATGGTCCACCTCAGTAGTGCCTTGGCGTTGTTCTTGTATTACCCAGACGTTGACCCGTTCAAGCATGTCACGCAGTCGAGTCCACCTATCACTCCAGCACAGCAACGTGCATGACTTACTCCAGATTACCATCTTTCACCCCAAGAATCGAGGGCAAGCTGCCGCCACTTCTCCTGAAACATGTCCCAGCCTGACCACGGATCACCAGATCCTCATGTGTCATATCTGGTGAACCACCAGTGGGCTCATCCGGTAATCAACCCCTATGTCAAGATAAAGCGACTGTGTTAAGCGAAACAGAATCTGTTCTATAACTATCAGAGGCTGGAAACACCATTGAGCTTTCGACTTTTGCAAATTGAACGTCCTGATGACACGAACGCTCCGTGCCACTACTCGTTGATTCAGACAACATTCAATCAAGCTCCCCCTTACGAGACTCTTTCCTATGTATGGGGTACGACTGATCGGAGTGAGGTGGTGACACTGAGGGACGGCAAGTTTCTACGCATCACAAAGCTATTGAAAGTAGCTCTAGCTTTCGTGGAAAGACAATGTTCAACCGAATATCTGTGGATCGATCAGATTTGTATTGACCAAGACGACAGGAACGAGCGAGGTCATCAAGTTAAGCTTATGGGTCAGATATACACTTCGTGTTCTCGTGTTCTTGTATGGCTTGGTCGAATGACTAAATTCGACGCTGAACTTTCTTTCGTAGACGATCTTGAGCAGAGCCAATCATCAAAAGACATATTGGTCCCAAAAATTTCAACCATGAGGCATCTCATACATCGTTTGCGCAAGGTGGCTGGATCTGGTGGATCCTCTACAGGAAGTTTCTGGCTTGAAATATTGCAGTCACCGTGGTTCCAAAGAGCATGGGTCTTCCAGGAAGTTGTGCTACCCCCGTCAGCACTGTTCATCCTGGCCACGATGTCGACGCTTCCGCATCAAGCGCTTACTATATCTCTTTCGGAACTTCATACAATGGTCAATCTCCAAGCTATGGGTATAGATGGGTCCGACGCAGTGGTTGACACCATACGCTTCATGTATCGTCGTTGTAGTGAACAGCACAGAAAAAATGATCATCCTCGCTCGCCCATTGAGCAGACGTTATCTCTCTTGGCACCCCGGGCGAAAACATCAGAGCGGCTCGATCGACTTTATGCGTTCTTCGGGCTTAATTTCGACACCTGTATCAATCTGACACCATCGTATAGTTCTTCCCTAGAGGTGGCTATGATCGATACCGCCACCTCGATAATAGAGGGAACCTGTAGCTTGGATCTCTTCGAAGTTATTCCCAGGGCTGTGGAGCATACAATATACAACGTAGAAATTCCGACCTGGACGCCAGATTTCCGAGAAGAGCCCCTCGTTTTGCCGTTTAAACGATCAAATACCAATTTTCGACAACTTGCCAAATCATTCCCCAAGCTGTGTCCTCTATTCATCCCTACTCAAATCACATACTATCGTGGTACGATTTACTGCGCTGGTGAGGAGAAGCGGATGATACAGGCTCACGGATTTGTTCTCGACCATGTCGACACCGAAATAGGCTCTCTATCATCTCGAACAACTATTGAGACCCATCTCAATGCATTGTTGAAGCGCTGCATCAAGGCTTGGAATAAGATAAAGTGGTCTGTTGAACACAAAGACCCTTCAGCGTCAAGACATAAACGTAAAAGTACTGGACTTGCTGAATTCACCGTTGACCTTAGCTTTGCTCCGATACCTACAATGGAGAGACTGTGCCAGGTGCTCGCTGCAGAAGGCTGTTGCGCACTGAGCGATGAACATCTTCCTCCTTGCCCATCCGATTCCACAGAAAATGTATCATCGACAAAGCGCATCATGATGCAAGTCATGCGTGGCCGCACTCTGTGGATGACACGATCTGGTCGATTTGCGCTGGGAAGCTATTTGCGTTGTGGAGATCACATTTGCCTTGCTTACGGATGCTCGAATCCAATAGCGCTTAGAGGCGAGCATGAGATGACTAAAGTCTTGGGTACCTGTTTTCTGGAAGGATGGATGGACCCATGGAGTAACGGGAATATCGCAAGGGCAGAAAAGGAATTTGCTTGCACTGTGTTTCACATTATATGACTAGCCATCGCGTACTTATTGGGACGTACCTATGCTTTCCGTATGGTTCCCAGCGCTGATACCACGAGTTGTTGAAACTCGATATCAATCGTTGAAGGATGAACTAGCGCCTTCAGTGAATACTTTGTATTGAATTCTGAGAGGGCGAAATGACATGGTGGTCCATGCCTACCATCAAGTAAATACTATCAACCCATGGCACAAATATTTGTAAGGCAATAGTAGAAACCCAAATGGGACAGCCACAATAAATATTCCTGGGATCCACTCACTTGCTCCTCGATTATCGCCATGTTACTAGGCACCCTTCACGAGAGAAGATCAGAGATGGGCGAAGTCGCCTAGATGTAGTCGATGCATCAGACTAGGAATGTTCCATCCAAACTCAGTCTCCTCTCTCTTCTCATAATGGCCAGGGCACAGCGAGTGATGAATGTGTACAAGCGGGTAGCTGTATATCGAATCAAGAGGTGTATCGTTGATAGACTTTAAGCGTATGGGTGATCCTACTTACAAGTCTGAAACGCGAAGGTTTGATATGTGTTAGGAACAGCTCGTGTCCTTCACGGAGGTTTTTTTTTTTTTTTTTTCAGAAGTGGGTACCCCGGGAAGCTATACTCAAAATGAGTGGATGAGATGCTCTGAAGGCGAAAGGCTCCGAACACAGCTCCATTCTATTTTGTGGTTACCAAACATTACATACAATACCATGGTAGAAACCTGAGCCCAATTCTCACTCTTCCACTTCCAATTCATCCACTTTTCCCCTTCTACTCAAGGGTAGCGAGAAGAATTCCACACTAGGTATGAGACTCTCTAGGAAAAAAAATACTTCTCACACTCTATTTACAGCCCAATTTCCCAAATTACGACGGTTAATGCAATAGGTCAACCGAGAGCAAGGCAAGCACTGCTGCCGTTCATTCAGAGTCCTGAGAACTGACTCAGTGGGGCAGGGTTGAGAATTGTTGGATTGGCATGTGGATGTAAAGGAGAGGTGAATTATATGGGACCCTAAAACTATGATCTAGGGATTCACATGTCTAAAGGAAGGTCTCCTACATGGTAGGTTGTTTGGAGGCTCCCATGATAGACGCAATTGTTCGACCTAAGGAAGGTCGTCAGCATTATTTCTCTGGTGGTGGCTGCAGAATGCCTCTTTTAGTTCGCATTTAGTATCTTTAAGACTTTCTCTTAGATCCTGATTTCTATTGATTTCATCATTACCCCCTTCTCACGCCATACTCGTCTCTTGATCTGGAAAGCTTCCATTCCACCTGTACTCGTCTTTCTTCTGTGCACATGCGCAACACTTAATGTCTCTAAAGTGACAGGTTGAGCTTATATATTAGCACTATCGGAAACCTCTGAATTGAGGAGAAAAGATGATGCGGTTGTGGTTGATCCATACGTGAATGAGAAAATCTACATGGTTGCGTGAGAAACTTGCACACCATCGTTTCGACCTCCTCGCAAGATATGGTAGAGTTTCGAGTTCTAAATCGGGGGTTAAAAATACATACTACTTCAGACGTGTGCACAAGTGCCGTACACTATGCAAGCATGGTTCTTCACCTTGGAGTGCTTTGCAAGAAATAGTTGCTCAGTGATTATCGGCGTCTAAGGCCGCGAAGACATTTGCCCTGGCAGTTCCCTAATATCTGTATTAACCTCTTTTGTTTCTAAAATCCCCAATTTGAAATTATTTTATTCGATTACGACAATCTCGGAAATTTGTGAATTTTGGGTAGTCACTAACCCCACAAAGTCACACCGCTGATCGCCCGCCAACCACCTCGATATTTATCTCACACTTCTGCGTTTTTGCATCAGATATACAGGCAACATCATTGAATGAACAATATTTACGACTACACCTCTCAGTGTTCGATCATACTTCGTCCTACGCGTTTGCGAAATTTCCAGTATGAAAGAATGCGAACGGGAGAGAGTTTTTGAATTATGAGAGATGGTTTCTTCTGTGTGAGAGGAACTGGAGGTCAAAATATGAGCTCAATCGCTAGAAAAAAAAAACTGGACGTTGATCGAGTGAGGAAAGGCTTCAGGTATCCAGCTTACAATACCATGCTCCCTGAGCTAGCGATGCAACCTACTAGAGTGAAATATCCTAAATCCGACCACCACACCACACCATATCTCAGTCAACAGCAATTCCCTCAGTATCTTGCCCTCCAGCCGCGCCCGCAACGCTAGTTCTCGACGATGCAATCAAGCAATCGCTCACAGAGTGTACCTCTCGCGCTCGGTCAGGCTTCACGAAACTCCGACGTGCATCGGGCAAATTCTTATCCTTTACCATCCAGTTTACGGGGGGTGCAAGATGTGGTAAGGAGATAAATTTAAGCGGAGAAGAAGTCAATATTGGGAATCGGAAAGGGGGATTAATTATGGCGCAGGCATTGTGCATAGCCTTAGACTCCCGAGCGGGGTTCAAGTTATTATTTGAAGTTGGGTGTGGGAGCTAATTAGATCGTGGATGGATATAGGCCTACAGTACTACTTCTTCATATTATGAGTAGGCAAACAGCTTCCTGAACCCGATATGCGATTCTATTGCCCGCATTCGACGCGGACGTCACGCAATAAATCACAGCACTCCTTCCTCCACATGAATCAAAATCATTCGTTCCCGCTTCCACCTGCTTAGCAATAAGCCCAAGGCCTCTTCTAAATAGATAGGAATGCATGAGGTGATTACGTTAACGGAGTTCGAGGTAGTTTTCATAGCAGCTCCCGCCTACTTACAAACTCAAAGGAGACGCATAGAGCAGATAGATCTGGTCCTAGGGCTAGGTGCGGCTGTGGGGATATGATGCTGAAGGCGCCGCCAATTCAGAGAAGTGGGTGTCACAAATGTTGGACTTTGCACGGCAGTGGAACGACAAGTGAAGTTCAAACGCGCCAAATCGAGCTAAATCTAGGCCTCAAGCGATCAACCCCTGGACCATGCACCACCGTCCACGTGGGTACAGAACGCGCATATGAAACTCAGGTCTCCGGCTCCATGGGCAATGCTGAGTCCATGTCATCTGAACCCTTCCGGGGGGCTACCAGCGCAATATCGGATTCGCAAACGGAATATCGAAATGCTTGGCAATGTATCCACAAGGCTGAACATAGATGAACTTGAGCTCTATTCATCTATCTCGCAATTATTGCCACGGCTATCCCTGTCACGTACAGCCAGCCAATGACCGCAAAGTTTCAAGGTTCGCATAGTATTCCGAGTTGGAATTAGATAAATATGGACAGAAATGCAATGCATACTACTTCCCTCTCCAAGCTACCTTTCAGGTCTGTGAGATTTTAGCCCATAAGTCCCACCATATGTATAGTCCACCGGCGTCATACTTCCGACGTGATGTGACTACCAACGAATTTTTGTAATTACACAAGCTCCTTCATGTGTCCGCCAATGCTTTTTTCATGTGGGCTGCCTGGGTCATCATGGTGGATTTGTTTCTCGACAGTCATCGTTGCCTGGTCTGCTAGAGCCTGGTCTTCGAATAAGAAGGCCAATTCTTCGAGTGTGCGGCCGTAGGTTTCAGGGAACATGAAGTACTACATCAGGCATCAGAGTTGCTTGTGGCTGGTAAAATATCAGGCATGGGCAGTACTTACAACAAAGACGTTCTCGAAAGCGAGCCAGCAGCAGTAGGTTACTAGCCACTTCCACTTGATGTTCTTGAGGCCGATGGGATTGACGAAGGTGGTGAAGAATCCAGCGCCACGGCCCCAAAATTGGAAGATGGTAATTCCCTTGGCACGCTGGGCAAAGGGGAAGAGCTCTACGAGATATGCTAGGATAATTTCAGTCTAATTCATTAGATATTGAGGGGATTAGGGAGGCTTTACTGTAGGTCAAAGCGTTGTATCCAATGTTGTAACAAGGAGAATACGCGAATATGAAGAAGATGACGACCTTTGCGGCGACCTTTCCGTGAGTCGCCATGAATTGTTGCATGGACACTGTCCAGCCAATGTAGCAGAGCAAGAGAGCGACAGTGCAAGTGAGGTACATTTTTCGGCGGGGGAACCGGCGGACGACGAGAGAAATGGCGACGGCGTTGACCAGCGACCAGCTGTTAAGGCCGATGTTTAGCTTGCCCTTGAAGTTAGGGTCGGTGTATCCGATTAGCTTAAGAAGATCATTCAGGTAGTATCTAGTCACATCATTAGCCTCTTTGGTAACACATCGGTGTCGGGAGGAGCTAAACTTACGAGATCAAAGTGTTTCCTGACCATTGTGTGAACAGGCCAAGGAAGGAACCAATGATGACTCGCTTGCGCATTCCAGGCGTCGCAACCATCTCCCACCATGATCGCTTTGAGACTTCTAATTCAATCTTGAGGGTGGTTTCAATCTGGGTCATTTCTGCCTTGACAAACTCAGACTCAGAATTACCCTCAGCGTGGTACTTGACCAGGACCTGGAAAGCTTCATCCGCGCGGTCTTTACTGATTAAGAAACGAGGCGACTCGGGGATGAAGCTGCTGTCTGTTAGCACATGCAGCTATTTATTTGACGGTAATTAATACTCACAAGATGAAGGCTATCTGGAAGAGGGAAGGCCCACACTGAAGAAGCGAGGGAATCCGCCATGCCCAATCGCTGTTGAGTTTCTGGGTACCGAATGAAATTCCAGCTGCGATAAGAGCGCCGACGAAGTACAGAGCGTTGAAAAGCGAAGTCATAATGGGACGTTCTTTGGGATAAGCAAGTTCACCCATCAAGGAAGATCCGGCAATGATACAGAAGGGGATTCCAAAGCCGAGGAACCAACGTGCAATAACGTACATAGCAGCTATAGCCTGTCAGGTTTATATAACTCAAAAAGATCGTTGGAAACGTACCTCCATTGGCGAACCCCTGCAGCATTGCACCGAATACCATAATCCAAGAGCCAATGAAGATGGCCCACCGACGTCCCAAGTTGTCGTTAACGAGCGGGACAAACGGCAGGGCACAAATAGCGCCCAAGTTGTAGGCTGCAGAGATTATACCAAGTAAAGATCCTTCAGGATGGTTGAAGTCTGCTAGGATTAGGGGCAGTCATGTACCAAGACCACAGGGTACTCACACTTTTGCCATTTGCTGGAGATTTGCACAGTGTTGATCATCTGCGAATCGAATCCAGATGTCATCTCAATACCGATACATGTTGGCAACAAGAGACAGTAGAGAACTCTGAGGTTCTTTTTCTTATACCAGGGAACGGTGTCCTGCTGGACCAAACGGGTTAAGACTGGGTCTGCCGTGTGGGCAGTCTGCGCGGGTGCCATGACGCCGGGTACACTGGGGGCTCTTTATCGAAGTCGTAGAACGGCCTTTAAACGAACGAGGAAAGCCAGGGACTTGAGGGGGAGGCTCGAAGAAGGTGGGGAATCTTCCATCTTTATCTGTCCCGGGAAACAATCCATCCTTGCTTGGCGCCTCGCGCGAGTAATCTATCTTGTCCCGGGATGACCACAAATTTGGATGAACTTAGCGATCGTCCCCAGGTAAATGGCAGTCAAAGTGACCCCGCGTACCGGCTCGTCCCCAGCATTAGCCGCAATAAACATGAACGCAGCCCCGACCAAAGGGGACACATGCATGCCAAGAATTGAAATGAAGAACACAGTCACTTCATGGTTGCAATCGGAGGAGTTCGACCAAAGGGCTAGATCAGGGAAAAGATGATGAGAACGTGACAAAGGAAATACGACTTAGTGTTGGATGTGGCTCAGAATTGATTGGAGGTTGGTGTTGGAATAATCTCGTACCCTGTGTCTCTTTAGCCGGCCGCTAGGACCGTAGTCCGATAAAATGCGAAACAGGGAAGAGGGATATCTTGCCAAGCCGATTAAATGACCTGCATGATCCGTGCCATGTGGGGAAATGCAATCCCTATAGGTTCGACCCAAACATACAGAGATACTACTCCAAGGCTGCTGTCTTCATCAAAATGCAACTCGAGACGTACTTCGCGGGTAAATTGAAACCTGAGAACACCTCGCCTTGGAATCCGCCCGTCCGGCTACGCCACTTATACCCCTTGTGACAGCTGACCACGATGACCGTTTCCCAACTTGAATCGGTCTTCAACATAATCGCCTTCCTTCCGAGCAGAAGAGGGGTTAGTCCTCTCTTTCCAGCTGCTTAGTAGAGCTTTATCAGGACTGAAAATATTTGATTTCTTGTGCCGGGTGCGGTTGCCGACGCTGATGCTGATGCTTGGCCTTTTTGCCCCCCCAGGCAAGCGACGTGGTATTCGGGAGCAAGACGAGGGGTAAAGAAAACATGGGGAGGGTTAACGAAGCCTACGGAGATACATTGTAACGAGGATGTACCATTCAGTACGAGTTGAAGTTGATGTAAGCTTCGAAGAACATTCTTTTCTCAGGATCCGGGTTCCCACGAAAACTGGACTAGTCTCAAAATGGCCATTGCCATATTTGCCCCACTTTCTCGCATCCAACACTTTGAATTCCCACAGAACTGGAAGTCCCTTAGCATAGGATCGGTATTTTCGTATCGAGCCACGGATAGAGTGCTCTTGTACTTTGTTACGATACCCTTCATACGAGGAAAGATATAAGATCGTGTCCCCAGAAGGTAAGACTACGTGAAGCGGCCTTCACAGTAGGCAACCACTGAATGTCAATTATCAGATGGCGAAGGAAACACCATCTCCGAACCCACCTTCAACCATACACTAAGGAATAAGAAAGTCCCAAATTACACATGCCCGTTTTCGGAATCCTTATCGCAGTCTACACCTTCCCGCGTAGGCCTCGGGACCTCTCATTCTCGACCTTTTATCTCTTCACTAGAATTTCCGTTCGCTCACTCATTCCACTGTACTTCCGAATATGGGCTGCTGCATTCCCTCAAAAATTCTGCTAGTCGTTGATTTCAACAACCAATTTTAGATGTTCGACCTAGGCTCCCCCAATAATAGAGGCTCGAGAGGAGGCAAGGCATACCTCAAAGCACAGAAATGCAACTAGGGCGTTATAGCTAGATACACGATCCCGATTCAAGGAGGGCTAGGTAGCGGAAATCCAGCAGACCTTGGAGTAAACACCTTTGATGGTAGCCTGGCCCGGGCAACTTTCCTAGCAAACACTCTGTTCAGTCCTCATGCACATCATCCGGCGCCGAATTCCACAAAACACTGGCAAACATGGCCCGGAGAATGGGAGAACGCGACATCCTACGCATCATTGCACGCAGTGGGCTCTTGCGTCCCTTCAAAGTTCGGCAGCTTTAACAGCAGCAGTAGTAGTCGCTCCCTTATAGAGGTAGGTATTACTGGCCTGGGAGCAACAGTGGTCTCGCAGGGCAGATCACGTTTCTATCCAGGCGAATTAAACCACGGTATGTATCCCGGCGGGCAAACACTCAGGGGTGGCGCGCATTTGAGAGTATATTCCAGGCCGAGTGTATATCCCTCAATTAGGGGCAGCACTGGCCGGAACCCCCGGCGGTCGCTCTCGACGAGAGGCTTTGGTAAGCATAGCTCGGCTCTTGGAAGCTCTCTTGGGTCGGGAGGAGCTGAGGAAGGTTTTACTGGGGTACATATTGCTCTGGATGCGTCTTGAATGAAGAGATTGCGAGTTGTGAACATCGGCCTGCCGGACGTCGCGGGACAAGTGTCGGCCAAGCTGTGAAGTTGATCTAGGGTTTGAACCAAATTACTCCAAACTTGCAATTTGAGCCAACTACGGCGCCAAGATATTGGTTTGGTGACACTTTTCCCACCACTAAAAATTAAAATGGTTTACCTAAACAGAGAGCCAACTAGTCTTAATTCAGCCAAGTAACAATGCGTCGTCTATGGTTAGACATAGTAGGAAACAGACAGCCGAAGCAAGCGCTCCCTCCCCACGTGCGCAGTGCGTTAAAAACCGCGTGATCATGACTCGGATTGCAAGGAACCTCAACTTCTCTCGCAAGGTATTATGCGATACAATAAAATGGAAAATATTTGAGCGACAAAGCTGAGGAAAGTCGGAAGTCTAGTTAGATAACACGCCAAAATCCACCTCTGGTGCAACATGCAAATGGCCGGCTGCTTATGAAACCGAGGCCATAGATTGGCCACTGTTCTCACCAGATCTTAACCCCATTGAACATCTCCACTGGCTCTTGAAGCAGAAGACAGTTGCACTGTATCCAGAGCTTGGGGATCAAGGATTTAGGTGAGTAGATAGAGAGTATTTTGTCGACTGTGCCCAGAGGGCTTGGAGAGAGATTCCTGAGGAAATGATCAATGACCTCATCACCAGCGTACCACGACAGATTCAAGCTATTGTTCGAGCTACTGGCTGGCAGACGAAGTATTGGGGTATTCCATATAGGCAGTTAAAGCTGGATGATAGTCGCTTGAAAGAGTGAGAATTCAGCACGCGCCCCTCTTCGTCTCAGTAGAGTAAGACTCTCGGGAGCCGCGTAACTCGCGTTCATGATATGTATGCACGGGCCACATCTCGAATGGCAATTTTACCCGATTTTTTGCAACTCACCTCTCCAAAATTATCCACACACACGTCACTCTCATTAACTACGGCCACGCCCGCCTCTAACTACCCAACATGCCGAAAAGAAAGCGCTGCGAAGGCACTTCCTCTTTCCCCGCCCTCGGCTCCTCCCCTTCACGCCTCATAAGCCGGCAAAAAAAGCTCTGCAGTCAACAACTTGAAACCTCTACCAAAGCCTTAATATCCGCCCTCCGTCTCGGCGCCGGCTTCGAACGACAAAAATACAGTCGACGCCGCAAGGCTGCGAAAGATAAGAACGACGAGAAGGCAGTAGTGCGGTTGGATGCCGAGTACGCGGTGCTTAAGAGCTTAGAGTTTGCGAAGGTCGCGGAACAGCATTTGCGGAAGACGGTACAGAGGGTAAAGAGTATCCGGGATAATGAGGCATTGCCGAGGAGTGTGAGCGAGGTGGATAGGGAAGTGAAGGAGCAGGTGGCGTTGAACGTATGTGCGAGGCTGTATAAGGTGCATGGCGTGAGGAAGGTTGTGAACGATGCGATTAATGATCTGAAAGAGATTTTGGGCGTGGAGGCTGGCATTCAGAAGGCGCAGGTTGATGCGCATAAAGATAAGGTAGATTCAAAGCAGAAGAAGGTACGGAAGGATCAGGAGTCTATTGATGACCTCAGTGATGAAGATGGGGAGACCTTCGCTGCATTTGATGCTCGAATTGCTGCACCATCATCGGCCGGAGAAGATAGCGATGACTCTTTGTCAGAGGGTCATCGTCCGCCAAGTGTTGAGGACAGTGAGGACGACTTTTCCGAAGACAACAGCGAAGACTCAATACTTTCGGATTTAGCAAGCCTTGACGATGAGAGCAGAAAATCAGTGTCCCCATCCGATATTACTTCATCCGCAGATTCAGATTCGGAAGGCGGCTCTTCAATGCCTCCCCCAAAACCAAAACCAAGAACAAAGGATCATGGCACAGCGTCCAAATCTACATTCCTACCCTCCCTTACTATGGGCGGCTATTACTCTGGCACCGATTCCGAAGCTTCTGATCTCGACATCGACGTGGCACCCAGGAGAAATCGAAGGGGCCAACGTGCAAGACAGCAGATCTGGGAGAAGAAGTTCGGCGAGAAGGCTAAGCATGTGCAGAAGCAGGAAAGGAACAAGGGATGGGACACCAAGAAGGGGGCCGTGGATTCCAGCAGGAGCGCAGGCAAAGGCCGCACACGTGGTATGAAACCTAGTGGAAGAGGACCCGAGAGGAGCGGCGAGAATGCCCTGCCATTGGGGCCGAGGAAGGCTACGAGGAGAGATGATGTAGGTCAGTTACATCCGAGTTGGCAAGCAGCTAAGGCTGCAAAGGAGAAAAAGATGGATCTGAAGCCACAGGGGAAGAAAGTTGTCTTTGACTAGGCAATCCTGCGCTTAGCGCTATCATGATTGATGATATACCTTCATAGTGCGACGATTTGAAATCGATTCAAAGCTTGGACATGCAACTTAGCCAAGCACATCAAAATGGTTCGAGTGTCAAAATCGAACAGTCAGAATATGGTGGAGTGCAGAATTCTGTAGAGCAGATTTAAATATGTTCGTTCCCGGAACGCATATGTCAGTGAGATGGTTATGTGCGTGAAAAACAACACAAGGTATACGATTAGCGTGTCTAGGGAGGGAGTCTAGGATCGAGAGATAGGCGATGTTCTCTGAGAATGCGTGCTCTAGCCTCAGGTTCCGTGGTGAGTTGATTGAATTGGCGGTGATAGTAATCAGCACTGGATAGCTTCCACTTGATTCATTAGGTGCTTGGGCAAAATTCGAAGAAGAGACCATGTATTCTAATTTTGCTCCGCGGTAGGTGATCTAGCACCAATAGGGCGAGGCTTTTCTTTGGTACTGAGCCTTGAATGACGCTTCCTCTAAACTCGCGTTCGTTTTGTGAGTTTCTCCCGTCTATCACCATTCTGAGTCTCCTTGGCAAATTATTAATCACTAGTCTCATTTTTATACTGTTTGATCGTCAACAAAAACCTGTTCATGATCTCCTTCAAAATTCCCGTTGCCAAGCGGTTGCACGACTCTGCCCGCCGTTGGGAGGAGCTACGGTGTACAGAGATATAAGCCGCCTCTTCTACTGCGTCCTTTCTCTTCTTCTTCATACCTACGGTATCTGGTAGGTAACCTGCCAGGTTGTACCCCCATTAACATCTCGCTGACCTTATACGTGCTAAGTCAGGATTTAGTTTTCATCACTACGGCAAGGCTGAATCCTCTCTCCCTTACTGCGACCACCTCTGTCATCTCAGCTGCTTCCGCATTTGTGTGCAAGATCCCTATTTCCATCCAGAAACTTCGCCCAATTCCGGTACGAGCGCTAGACCAGACGACAACGACGACGAAATCAGTCGGTGGCCGCCATGCGGCACGATTGGCTAGGACTCGCCAACCCCTTCCAGCCTCCCGGTTTGCAACTAGTCCTCCCAAGACCCTACCAGTTATGAACGCCACTCTGGAGAAGAAGAGGACAACGACAAGGGTCGTTCCCACCAATATCTCAAATGTACCGAAGTCGGTTCCTGTCAAGAATGGGGCTAGAATGAGCCGACCCCTCGCCACGGATATGAAGTGCGCAGTTAAGAAGGTACGACCCTTTGCTTCTGTCGGTGAGAAGAGCACCATTGAAAAGGCTAGATCCTTCGCCGCCATCTCAGAGAAAAGGGCATTGGCGAAGAAGACTGTGCATAAGTCAGCGACTGTTAGATTCCAACTAGTGGACCGTCGATTTCTGTCACTGTTCGAAAATCGAGGAGCTCAAAACCTCAATCAGGTATGCCGACTTCCCTTCAATGAACTGGCTTATTAGTTGCTGACACTATTCGTAGGCAAGGTCGCTGTCCAAGGAACCGGTGAGAAGCGGAAGATCTCTCAAGTTCCTATCCCAGCTGGTAGGCTCTATCATTCCGTGGTTGATGCTCGTTGTATACAGTCGTTCCGAGACCCTGGATGGACTTGGATTCTAGCATCCCTATCCTGTGCTACATCATCCAGGCCCGCGCTGGCCCATTCTCCCCTTCCTTCCTTCCTTCAATCTGAGGGAGGAACCCCCGACTCTGTGGGGCACGTGTTCACGTCTCAGAAGCAAGTCAAGCGAGCCGTTAAGGTTGAGGAGCCGAGTCCCATTTACAAGTTCGTGTAGAACCATGGTGAGTCAGTGAATTTGACGTCGTCTATCCCCGACGAGTTTTACCATTTCCCGGTATCGCAAGTCCCAGCGAGGTTCGATAACGGCCCCATGTTCCGGATCATCAACGACAGCAAGACTGGACGACCTGCGTACCAGACATTGTCACCCGTGTTCGTCGACCGCTTTAGAGCTTTCAGGGCCTGGTGGGGCGTAACTGGCATCTGAATACAGAGGCCTTCTACGGACGCGATGATCTTTTCCTAAGCGTGGAACTTCCTAGATATACCTCCATCATGGAGAGTAATATCCACATCCGTGACGAGTACGGCATTGTTCGCGGTGCCTTTGAGTCACGTCTTCCCTAGCTCCCGGTGCCAGTCGAAGAGGTCGAACTGCGGTACACATTTCTGCATGATTTGTTCTCACCACCCGTGGTTGAGGGTTTCATGAACGACTGGTACGAAGAGGGGTGGCAGTCGTCAACGTCGAGGATTTCTCCAACATCCTCGCTAACGAATGCTTGCTTCCAAGGCACGACGCGACCATCTCACTGCACTACGACAAGCCTCTTCTTTTAGAATTGTCTCGCAAGACTTGCTCGAAGTCTTGCTGTCGGCAAGGTAGGTTGCGAGCCGAGATAATAGATATTGGTATCTGGAACGGGGATATGCATTTCCTTTAATAGGGCACGATTACAGAAATGTTTCTAGTAATCTTGACTATGTTGAGCATATAAAATGCATGCTGCAGGTGTGCATCCAAAATGGCAATCACGGGGGCTGAGTCCATATTCGATCTCATCGGCATTAAAAAATCGCATATGCCTCGGATGTCATCGCATTTGGTATAGTCGAAAGAAGGTAACCCAAATTATCCATAAATGGCGTTTCATCCAAATGCCTTGCCATTGGAAAAGAGGCATGTACGAGAACGCGTAAAGAGTGTCAACTCCTTGCACAGAATGATTATAAGTGGAATTTTAGATAATAGTAATTAGATCTATATTTATAAAGGTGCCGGAAGAATCCATCCTCCTGTTCGTCACTGAAGTATATTAATATATCACGTGATTTCCAGGACTTCGCAGAATGCTTTCTAAAAAATTGCGGTATTGTTTGCCTGCCGAGCCTGCGGCTATTGAAGGCACAATCGGGACAGAATCTATCCATATCGCTTCGGGCATTTTCCTCCTTCATAAGCATATTTGGTGAATAACGCGAATTACGGCGACATCACACATTCACCGCTTCGTGATGTAGGTGCACAGGCCACAGCAAGCAACAGCAACTTACCTCCGACTGACTTCTTATCCCTTTCCTGAATTCCACTTCGTCATACTATCTAACACCAATCCTCAATTCTCCAACTCTACCTATGTGTACCCTTGCATATGCTTTATATTGAACATTCCACAACCATGCCGAAACGCAGTCACGGCGATGGCGACGACGCCTTACTGTGAGCCGATTCGAACAAGATCAAGATATACATCGGCTCTGCTGTTCCTGCCGCTCCTACCCCAACAGCGTCTGCCAAGGATAAGATCTTCACCTTACCATTCCACAATATCCCAGCTCCACCTCCAGAGTTGAAAGTTATTCAGAGCCCACAAAACGAGATGGAACCTATGATACTCCTCCAGCGCAAACAAGAAGCAGAAAGCACCGTGAAGGCTGCCGAGGGTCAACAAGACGCCCCCGAGACGAACAAGGCCGCTGAGATGAAGTTGAAGAACATCACAATGCATGACCCTATCGACCTTCAACATGACATCCTTGGTACGGACAAGGCCACTCAGATGATCCCGGAAAGCAGCACTCTGCATGATCCTATCAACGATGTAGTCCCCGCTCATGATGAAGACTCAATGGTTGAGACACGTGTACAGGTACCGCAAAAAGAAGTACAGGTGAGTGATGGCGGCCCCAGTGAGTCCAAAGCTTAGGATTCTAAGAAAGACACGAAGGCAAAAATATCGGAAGAGGCTGTAGGAGAAGACTTGATTGCAACGACGAGGCACGACTCCTCCGAGGAAGTTGCCGATTCTGGTGTGGCTAAAGTATCCCCCGTCAAAGAACGAAAGAGTGAAAGGAACGTTGAAGAGAAGACCTCCACACACAAGGACAGCCAGGGGGTTACAAAAATATCCTACGCCCAGAAGGCTAATATCTCTCTCGATATCTCGAATTCCGATCGTGAACTTAAGGCGGACACGAACTCTACCAAAGAAGAAATGCAGACGAGTTCTTCCGCGCTCCCCCTCTCCGAAGGAGCCACTACTCCTGAAATGACCACAGGAGGGAGTTCTGTCGTTGTGACGGGGCGCAATCCTTTCACTCCTAGCACGAATATCATTCCAGTCTCGGACACTACGATGATGAGCTATGAAGAATGTTGTAACATGGCTGGACACGATATCACTGAAGCACCGACAGAAGAGAAGCCCATATTTTTAGAGCAAGGCATTCCACATACCGCTGCTAGAAATATCGCACCAATCCTAAGCTACACAATAGCGGTTAAGAACAATCCCACAATGGTTAAAGACGAGAGAGCTTATCTACCCGAGGTTCTCTACCAACATAGCTGGTTCCTAACAGCACCACTCAATAATGAGAAAGACTGGGAAGATTACTGTGGCGGCATTAACTCCGCTTTGGGTGTACATTCAATTGGTCGGTTTGGTGTTGACATTGCCCCGGATCATTTTGTCGGCCATCTCCCACGGGGTCGCATAGTCGAACCAAAGCCCACTCTTTCGAAATATCAGTCTTCTGGTTTCCAAACACTGTGTCCTAATGACAAAATCGAGGGTATCAAGCTCGCCAAGGCCAAATCGTCGATGATGGTTGGCGCCCGTCGAAGTGATGCGAAGAATTCCGGTCTAGTACTTCGCGTCCAATCCGATGACAACAAGATTGTGCATTCAATGCAGTTTCCACCTGATCTGAGAGGCATCAACAAGCTTCCTTTTATCGGCGCGAACCGGTCGCCGGCTGCGCCTGGATATGCACCCATATCAGCAGATAGAGGTTGCGATGTCATACTTCCTAATATCATTCTTGACAACCCGGACATTGTCTCGAGGGTCGCACCACGACCACTAGCATCTTCACAGCCAGTTGCCTGTACGGGAGAAGGAGATCCTGCAGAACCTTCTCTCTATCTTCTCGATAAAAAAAGGAAACGTCAGCAATCGCTCTCACTATCCTCGTCACCGCCAGCCCCCACATTTATAAACCATACGCACACAAAACCACCCACGAGAACTCCAGAATCCGAAGGTTCTAGGAATAATCTACCATTCCAAGCCACACCAGAATCCAAGCCCACTCACGATTCGCCCGGGGGGCCGCCAGTGGTGCGCGAGAAGAAGCCGCGCGCAGACTTCAGCGCCCTCAAAGGTATCATCTCAGGGAACGGCCGAAGCCTGGTCGGAAAAGTCACCGTCCGAGCTACAAACACCGAGCAAGTTGAGGCCCAAAAATAGACGTTATATCTCACCTCCTCAGCGCTAGGCACAGAATGATGAGCGGAGCGAGAGATTCCTGATAAGTAAAATTGATATGAGCTTGGAAAAGTTGGTTTGGGATGCGGGAGAGGATAGGAAGAAGAGGGTTAGAAGGTAGTTTGGCAGCTAATACAGACGTAATGAAATCATAAGATGTGGTAGTAGGCTCGCTTCAAGTAGAGAGTAGGGAGAACGGAACACCTAAATTATTTCAGGAGATAAATAAATGTAGAAGTATAAAGCTGAAACATTCTGTTTAAATTTTGTTGTTGACTATGTGATTCTTACCTCATCTTCATAAATTTTTGAGCAGACTGAGACTTCACTCTTCACTGGGTAAGTGTTCTCGAAGAAACCTTTCTCAAGGATGCTTGTTAGAATCCTGCTACAGTCGAAACAGAGGTGATTTTACGTCAGAATTCGGAGTAATGGTTTATGGTACAGGTAAGTATCCGAAATTTACCGCCCTGCATATATATTGCATCCCTGGATCACCCCGTGTCACAGGTGCTGAGGATTTAACATCAAGCATCTCTTGTCTTCACCAAAATTGACCCTACGAGCTTGCTGTAGCACAGGTCGCCTGTGAATCCGATTTTCTTGGAGAGGATACTAGCGTAGCCTTAGATCCTCTATCAAGACCGAAAATTCGAGCGGCTTCATCATGACTCAGCTTGGAACGACGTATCCTGCCACTGAAATAAGAAATGAGAGCGGCTAGTGAGTAATTTCGGTGTCTAAGGTGGCCACTACCTCTGGTTGTGATATTCATGATAAACAATTCATTCTTGAGAATGTAACCTACGCGAAGATCAAATCAAATCCTATCCATGTGCAAAAGAGGCTCGAGCGAGGATATACGAGCGAAGTTGCAATTGTGCTACATACACTATGCATTAGAGCGCTGAATAGCTGGGGTGGAGAGATCGCCAGGAGAATGGCTTGAATTGTCTTGAGCACACTCATCCGGTGTAAAGAAATGTCCGTAATTATCGGTGTTCAAGGAGGCGACGTGGCACCATATCTCACGATAAAAGGCTAGCATCGAGACATCCACTGGCCATGACTACGCACATTGATTCAACTGTAGGGCGGCTTAAGCCACATCCTCCGCTAGAAGTTGGAGTTGGAGTTAGAGTTTCGCCAAGTGCCAGCGGCAACCTTGAAGCGTAATTAGATCGTGATAAAGAAAGACATTCTCGATGTCGATTAGTAAGTTTTTGCAGTTATAGAGCTCGCAGGATCTCGGCCGAGCTCCCACCACCTGCTCGTACCCATTAACCGCTGCTTGCCCAGCTCGCCCCTTTGTATATACATCTCCCCCTGGGTACACTCCTTGACCAATCAACTCAGTTCCTCATAGCTTTGGTGCTCTTGATAGCCTCACAGTAAGCCTTCCCTTCCTAGCAGGTCCTCAAGGGTCATGAGAGCAGCGATGGGTCCCAGAACTATATGATCGAGAAGTCCTAGGCCTTCGGCCAGCAATACATTGTCACATCTCTCCGGGTCGCCCAGCAGATTAAAAATCTTTCCAAAGACAGGATCAAGGACATTAGTATGGATATCCAGAAGCTAGATGGTTTTCACAATCTAATCTAGTCTGCTTAGCATGTTCAGATATTTCACCGATCTCGCGTCAATCATCGCTCAAATCAGTTAGATAGTGGCTATTGCATCCATTTCTGCTGCCTCTGCCGCTGCCAGTGGCGACCACGAGACCATGGACGAGGTTACTAAGAAGGATAATAAGATGTATGATATACAGTAAATGTTCGAAGCCATGAACCGCTCAATTACAAAGCTAGAAGAGGGGTCAGGTGACTTTCTTAATACACTTTTAAGACATGGGAGAGCCCTGCCTGCCCGAGTGTAACCAGGCTAACGAAATGGCTTGAAGAGACCCTTCTAGAGGACGTTGCCCCCCACTTGAAACAGCGGTCTCCTTCAAAATGGGCTATACGATGCTCCTCAACACCACGAATAACGTCCTCGACGCCCTCTCAACATCCTCGTTCTCGCTTGGAGGAAGGCGGAATAGAGCAATGAAGGAAAGACCTCCAGGGCTTTTTACCGACAATTTTAAACATCCAAATCTATCTGAAGTGCACGGTCCTGAATCATGAGGCGTACAGGTACGCAGAGGATCTGCGCTACCTACTCAAACCAGAAGAGTAGACCTACCCAGGGCTACTGCAGATGCGTTCGACGCTTTCTATCGGATTCTGGTAGCTGAAGGCTATGCCGATCTAAAATGGAAAGCTGAGAAGGTCTGAAGGACGATGCACAGTCGCGACAACGTGTGAAGGGAAGAGAGTGAAAGGGTGAAAGGGTAAATCTGAAGCCGTACGGAAGAATCATGTCATTTCCCTCCTCTCAACCACCTAAAATTTAGAGAGAGATCCTACATCGGTGAAACTATCCTAACGGACCGTATTGCTTACAACAAGACGACGGCTGAAAAATCGAAAAGGAATTTAGGCACAAGTCCATTCTAACTCTCGTAACCCTCATAGAATCATCATCAGCACACATATAATACCCACAACTCCACCTCTCTTCCTCTTTGAATACACTTATCCAGTCACTTTTCCTCTTCTTTCTTTGCCTCCGTGCTGAAATTAATGCTAACACTATTTACACAATGCCGCTCATCCTTCGGGTTCCCGAACTTCTCTCCCTTAAAAATATGTCCGAGATGTCCGCCACAGTTATTGCACACAATCTCCGTCCGCTCCATGCCAAAGCTGCGGTCTGTATGCTGACCGACGGCTCCGGGGAACGCGTCCCAGAAGGCAGGCCACCCGCAACCCGAGTTGAACTTGTGGCTCGCTTTGTACAGAGGCGCCTCGCAGGCAGTACATTTGTAGATGCCAGCGTCAGGGTAGTGTTTGTCGTACTTGCCGGAGCCGGCCATTTCGGTGCCTTTTTGGCGGAGGATGCGGAATTGCTCTGGGGACATGGATGTCAGAACAGTTTGTTGGGATACCCTTGGGATGGTGGGAGGGAAATGTACCGGGACTCAAGACAGCTTGCCACTCGCCCTCGGTCTTCTGAACGGGAAAGTTCGTATCCGCCATATTTTTGGTACTGGAACCGAAAAGTGCTCCAAGGAAAGGGATGTTTGGCATAGACCGGAGGACAGTTGGGCGCTGAGGAGTTTGATAGAGAGTGCGGAAGACGACTTTTGGTGGGTTTTGGAGAGAAGTATTAGAGACAGTAAAGAGTGCTCGAATAAGGGTTGGAATGAATGAAATGCGCATGAAGGGAGGTATGAGGTATATGTATGTATTTCGAGGACAGGAAATTGGAATTGAGACGGTGGCTGTTTTGGTGATGAGGAATCAGTGAGGCGGGGCGTGGAGCTTGGGCCACCTGAGCTTCGGCTGTGGCGTCGTATTTGGAATTGCGTCATCATGAGTGTCATCGAACTTGCATCTTTTTGACCATCGCTGAAGTTCCGTCAGTGCAACTTGTCCTAAGTTTTTCGAGTAGGGGTGGCGCCCTGTACGGCTATAACCTCTCCAAATGATCAACTTCCCTGTCCTCAGTTCTACCATTTTCATCCACTGTGAAATCATCAGTGTACTGCGCCCCGATTCTTCGCTGCTGGGCTCAAACGAGATCGAAGGCCAAGGCTGAATTGGCAGTATCTGCATATCAACGTTCGGGAAGCTTCAGCCCGTTTTTACGAACTTCAACCCCACGCTCCTGTTTTAGTCCAGCCCACTCGGGCCTCAGAAGCCAGAGGTATTCATATCAATCCGATTCCAATAGTCCCGGATGGTGTGTCACGCCTGCACGGCCTGTCAATAGTCGGCGGAGTCGGCTACGAGTCGGGAGCCCACCACGACATTTTGGAGAGCTTCTGAACCACCGCAACAAACAGGTGTTCTACTTGAGCCTCACTGTGCAGCAATTTTGATAGATGGTCGGGTCCGGAGCTAGATTATGCCGCGAATCGAAGATTTCCTGCACGACGTGGGGGTGGGACTATGATTCAGAAGTCTTCTGCCTCCTCTCCTTTCCCCTCAAATTCAAATTTTCAACATACCGGATGAATTCGCCTTCGCTCTATCTATGGTCCTTGAAAATGTTGAGAGAAGCTTTGGGCTTGATACCGAGGACAATCTACAGCGTTTATTGTATAGGAGCACTACTACCTCCAAGGTAGCGTCTGCGCTCAGGCAACTCACTCCTCCCTGGCCCCCGAAATATCCAGAGACTCATCCTAACGGCGGTCCAACGGGAAATTTTGGGTGCGAATCTCCACGGTTTCTCGACCTAACTTATCCGCTCCAGCTCCTCCTAAATCCATCATCTTCCGCACTTTCTGATCACTATGCCACCCTGAATCATTACTGGGGGCCCGAATCCCCTGTTCCTCGCTCTTACCGTGAAGAAGTCTGAGTTATTCATACATGGGGGATACGGAATGTCGATCTACTTTCAAATTCCGTAACGCTGTTCAAGTTTGTCCGTCTCTTTGAACTACACATCTTTGGATTGGTTCACAATGCATCATTCAACTAGGCTATGGCAATAAAGAGAGTTGGCTCTATACAATGTCAATTCAATGAGATCTATCTATGCGCATGCTCGCAAACCAGGGCAACCAAGGGCTACCTTTGGTGTACTAGTCCAGAACGTGTTGCTCTTTTTGCGATCAAGCTCCCTATCCGACACCTTCTTAGACCGAGTTAAAGACATTTTTCCCCGTTTCTTTTAAGTTTCATCCCTAAGTGCATCGGAATAATCCATCCGGGTGCCGTGGCTGAGCTCCCATGAACGGATGCTCTCTCTATTGGTATTTAATCTTCGGCTTGGACCAAGCACTACGGAGCGCTCTGACCTCTCTGTGGAAAATGCTTGTGAAAATTCCCTTGGGGGGTCCCGATACCTCTTGGGAACAAGGGTCCGTTTACCCCTCATTCGCAAGAGACCCCAGGAGTCACTATTCAAAGATCTAGATACTAGAGGAAGCTTATAGACGTTTATTCCGAATTCCAACCCACCCGGCCCGACGAAGATAAATTCACAGCGTTTGAAGGCCTAACTGAATGTATGTTGAAAGCTTCTCCTTACTGCGAGTAGATCGCTAGGTTTTCAGTCATGACCTACCGATTGCGCCTCTTTGGCGAATTAAATTGGATAGAACACCTTAGCATTACCCTAAAAATATCACATACAGAGCCCTGCTACAGAGCTAGGCTGCTGCAGATGTTGCGATCGATACGTTCTGGTACCACCAAGGTATTGACGGTCCGGATAACTAGTCACCAATAACGCCACTGAGTTCCTACATCGGCGAACCTGTACCGCCCTCCAATCACTTCGTACCATCTAAATATGCCGAAATACTTCTAAGAGCTGTGTTATCGGATTGAACTTGCTGCGGCGACATGGAGGTGGACACAACCTTGGGTCCATTTTGACAGGAAGGAAGACTTATTTAGGCCCCGGGACGGAGTATTTCTCGTAGCTATACTGGGGGTAAGGAACTTGACTGTGTGCATGGAAGAGAGCAGATGAGGACGAGAATTCAGGCTTGCTAGAGCACCAAGGAGGATCGCATACTAGGACTTACGGAAAAGCAAAGTTCTTGAAAAGATGAACAAATTCCGGAGAGACAATATCGTGCTTGTATGACAGGCTTCCCTTTCTCGTTCAATTGCTACAGGAACGCACATTGTTGAGGTAGGTCATGCTGACTCAGCCCCCCTTCGGCATGCCTATTCTAGACATTAGCCAGTTTAGAGTCACTTTCCCCGACTTTTCATAGTTGCTATCGCTTTTTGATAGGTCTCGAATACTCTCGATGTCCCACTATACATCTTATATACGAAAACGCGTCGAGGCAGTCGTTCCTCTCATTATTCCAATCATCTCAACTCCGATTTGCTTCACGATGTCCGCCCTGGCCATTGTGGCGTTTTCCCCGCTAACCTCGCGCGGCTCGACCGGCTTCTCGCGCCCCAACATCTGCAGGTGAAGGCAAAGAAACCCGGTCAGGCAACTCTCAACACCAATGAGGATGGCCAAGGCATCGTGGCTATGCCTCTCTCTACCTGGTCTGCACGTCGCTCGAACTCCCCGGCTTGAGAACCTAGGTTTTGCGCTTTTCTCTGACGCCTGATAAGTCGCGTGCCCTTCCTCTCCGTACCCTCCAAGACTGCTTCTCTATCGTCTCTTCTCCTAACAGACTTCTATTTGCTGCTAGATCTAGCGGCTTTTTGCTTATCTATTTTCTTCTGATGAGCGCAAACCATGCGCCCGAGACCTATGTACCGAGGTCCCCCTCGACGTCATCAGACGACTCCGACGTCGCCTTATCGATAGGAAGTAGCAAGAAGACATCCCCGAGCCAGAGCTTCGAATTTACAGAGCAAGACCTCTTAATTAGAGAAAACAATGTCCCTGATTCAAGTAATGGTCGCAATCTCACATATTCGGGCCGAGATCGGCATGAACGGGAGCTCTTCATCACGACCAATGTACAAGCTGGCACGGCTTTACCACAGGTCGATGTCACAGAGCAAACCGAAGCCACTAAGGAGGAGCCGATATCATGGCGCTCGCTACCACGGAAAGACCAGCTCTTGATCTTGACCCTATCACGTCTTTCAGAGCCACTAACGCAGACCTCACTGGGAGCCTATCTTTTCTACCAGCTTCAGTCTTTTGATCCGAGTGCGCCGGATTCAACGATATCATTCCAAGCAGGTGTTGTTCAGGCTGCATTCCCTGCAGCACAGTTTCTTACTGCCATTCTTTGGGGCCGGTTTGCCGATTCCGAGTATGGCGGTCGCAAGAGAGTCATCTGGATTGGATTGCTAGGGACAATGCTCTCGGTCATTGGATTTGGATTCTCCCACAGCTTCCCCGTTGCTGTGTTATTCAGATGTATGGGTGGGATCTTGAATGGCAACATAGGAGTTATGAGGACAATGATCTCCGAGATCATCAAAGAGAAGAAATACCAGTCAAGAGCCTTCATCATTCTTCCAATGACGTTCAATATTGGAGTCATTATAGGGCCAATATTGGGTAGGATCGATGCTAGCGGCATCACCTAGTCACTGCTAACTTCAATTTAGGTGGTATATTAGCCGACCCTGTAGGAAGTTATCCAGGCATCTTCGGTCCAGGATCAGTTATTGGGGGCAAAAATGGCGTAGAGTGGATGAGGAAATGGCCCTACGCACTGCCGAACCTTATGAGCGCAATCTTCCTCTTAATATCCGTATGCGGTGTTCTCCTCTTTCTTGAAGAGACTAGCGAGATGGCGAAGCATAGGCCTGACTATGGCCTCCGCGTTGGACGATGGATACGACGACACATTTTGCGCCAGAACATCGCCGACGGGTATACTGTCCTCGCGGTAGATGAACCAGGGGATGTAGAGCTCCAGCAAACACCCGTCTCCGCATATCCAGAAACCCTGGGGATAGTCTCAGACAAACCACTGATCCGAAGGAAACTTCCCTTTCGCCGGATATGGACTCCAAATCTAATCATGACGCTATCTTCTCACGGCCTCCTCGCAATGCACGTTGGAACATTTAACTCCCTCTGGTTTATCTACCTCTCGGCACCACGATACGACCCCGTACACCCTCATCCCAAGAACTTCAAACCACATGGACTTATCCACTTCACAGGTGGCCTAGCCCTTCCACCTCCGCGAATAGGTCTTGCCCTCGCGATCCTAGGTTTCGTTGGTATCACGCTACAGTTATTTCTTTACCCGAAGCTTTCGCATAGACTGGGGACGGCGAAGAGTTACAGACTCTTCCTACTATTGTTCCCGATTACATACACGCTCGTTCCCTTCTTAAGCACCGTACCCACTTGGTCCAAACCCCCCGCTGGTGTCTCTGGTATCCTAATTTGGCTTTGCATTACCGTTGTTCTATTTCTGCAAGTTCTCGCCCGCACCTTCGCCCTCCCTTGCGCTACCATCCTTATCAACAACTGCTGTCCGCACCCTTCTGTCCTCGGAACTGTGCATGGCCTAGGACAGTCGGTAAGTAGTTTGACAAGAACTTTTGGGCCGATTCTAGGGGGTTATATATTTGGCAGGGGATTAGATATCGGAGTTGTGGGATTAGCGTGGTGGACGTTGGCCTGTGTAGCCGTGGTAGGAAGTGTTGCGGCGAGGTTTGTCAGAGATGGTGATGGGCATGAGATTCTTTTAGAAGGTGAGGTTAAAGGGGCTGATGGGGTTGTTAGGAGGGTGGATTGAGGAGAGATGTTTTTATGTTGGCGTGCAAGAATTTGGATCGTTTAGGGGGGCGACCCGTGAGGTTTAAGATTCTTTGTTACCAGAGTACAAGGGATAACGATTTTTTAGTTCTCGGGGTTTCTGGGGAGTTCAAGAGGGATACAGACTAAGCGAAGAGTGTTATCAAGGATGCATACAAATATTTTCGTCTCCTTTTTAGACTTAGATACTTAGCAATCTATAATACATATTTGTCGCGTATACTGAGAGCCTTGGCTGGGGCTCAGAGCCTGGGACTGGGGCTCGGAGCCTGGGACTGGGGGCTCAGAGCCTGGGACGCAGCTCGGGATCTGGAGATATTATGTTCTGAAGCTTGGTGTATATAAGGAGAGCCTTTAGCTCTCTTAGATAGCAGAGTCACTTTATCTAATCTTCTAAACAGCTACTGCCAGGCTATTTTATCCTCTATAGTTATGGGCCTAGCGCTTTAAGAACCTAGGATAATTCTCCCTGTATAACTATAGCGCTAGTAAAAGCTGTTTAGAAGCTCTTTTTCTTATCCTTATTAATTTTTATTACCTTTAAAGCCTATGTTATAGCTAATTAAGATGCTCCTCTCCTAACAGGAGCATACTAGCTTAAGGACTATGTGAGCTGGCCTCTCTAGTTTATCTAGCTCTAGTTCTATGCTCTTAGCAAAAACCTATAGGACATGATTAATCTAGATAGACTAGACGCTCTAAATCCTATGGACAGCGCTCTAGAGATGCTTACACTTAGAGTGATCACTACTAAGAACCCCCTAGAGAAGGCTAACGTACAGTACTAGACTAATATTGCTAAGTACTAAGCTTAATTAAGCGACTAGGCTTCCTGCGCAACGCGTCTTTAGACAATCTAGAACTAGGTTAATGCAACTGTCGCACTAGAGCTCCTAGGACCTGCAATAATGCAGCTTATGTTAGAGAACTAATCCACTCTATAGGCACTTGTACAAGCCTTAAAACAAGAGCTAGCACTAATAGACGCAAGCATAAAGAATCTTATATAAGTAGAGTACAAAGCTTACCTTACTAAGGTAAAGCATAGCACTATAACCCTAGAAGCTTAGTACTAGCAGTAGCACTTCTTATACACTAAGGCAAGGACCTACAAGATTCTTAACGTAGAAGGCTAGCTAGCCGCACAAGACTTCCTAGACGCCTTAGCTCTAAAGCTTGCACTAGACTAGGCGCGCTTTATGCACTAAAGGGTTATAGAGGCTAGCGTACTTAGTAAGAAACCTCTAACAATCTAAGAAATTAGTAAGATCTTCTTAATAATGCTTTAAAAGCACTTCCTGCGCGTAAGCAACTAAGGCATAGGTATATTTACAACACTTAGTAGATAATTAGATAATAATTTAGCCTAATCTATTTTAGCCTAATTAGGCTACCTGTGCCTATGCAGAGCTCTAGAGTAATCTCTTTATTTATAAAAAGCAGCAGACTGCAGAGACCTTATATTAGTAGTTACTAGAAAGCTAAAGAAGCTTAGTAAAACTGCACATTAAAAGATCTTTAAAAGGCTTAAGTAAGCATAGCATAAGAAAGTAAAAGCTGTACTGCTTAAAAAAGGCTACATAATTCTAAATAAAGCCTCCCCTACTTTAAAAGCTATTAAAGAATTAGACAAGCTAGCATTTCTAAGAAGCATTATTGCTGCACTTATTAACCTAGCGCTTCTAGTAAAACTAGGGATGCACGTAACTATAGATTTTAACACTTACCTACTCTTTATAAGCATAATTCTAGACAATAGAAGTGCTACGCACTTAGTAAATAGTATAAAGCTGCTTATACCTAGGTTATTTAAGAAAGCTTAAGGTTTACACATAGTAGAAGCTAGCACCTAGTTGTTTTTAATCTAGAGAACAGGAACTAAAAAGCTTAGAAAGGTGTTAAATAAAGCATAAAAAGAGCGCACAGAAGATCTTACACTATAGGAGGTAGTTATAGTAGAAGGATTTTACATTAATATTATCTTAAAAGCTTATTTAAGAGAAAAAGGACTATAGTATTTAAAACTTAACTATACACTGCGCATAAGCACGCTAGAAAAGAATAGAGTACTTATAACACTTTACTAAGAACATAACCTTATGTTTGTTAAATATAAAGCTGTCTCTTTCTACTTACTAGTGTAAAGTGTGCTCCTAGATTGCTAACGCTTATAGACTATATTTTTACACTTAGACTTAGAAGAGCTCTAGCATGCGCGCGCAGGACACCTAGGCCCTAAAGCTCTGTGGGCTCTAGTTAAAAGCGCAAGGAACGTATAAATAACAGGTATAGAGTAAGTACGCTGTAAGCACTGCGCAACAACACACGCTAAGCAGGTTATATTAAGAAGACTAAAAGAGCAAGCTCCTTACCTATTCTAGAGAATTACATAGGACATGTTTAATATACTATTAGGGCGCAGTAGAGCTCTATAAATAATAATTATTAAGGATAAATATAGTAGTAAAATTTTTTTATACTCTTTTTAAGTAAAAACACTCTTAGAAATCTAAAAAGTAATAAAGAACTTTAAGAGCATAGTGTTTAATTAATATAAGCTCTAGATTAGTAAAATACAGTAAAATAATAATGCTGCTACGCTCCCTTAGCATAAAAAGTTAAGGTATAAGCTCTAAGTAAAAAAGTTAGGCATTAATATTAAAAGCTTTTTACTATACACTTATAAGCTAAATAAAGCTGCAGAAAGAGCTAAATAAAAAATAATTATAAAGTTTATTAAGATAAAGAGCAGCGCAGGACTCCCTAAAAAGCTCTAGCTAGAAGTAGTAAACGCAGCAACATAGCTGTACAATATAAGCCTGTTGCACGCACATAACCTACACTTACTAAATAAAGTCTTAGACGCGTAGTTTACTAACTACTTTAAATACTATAAGCTAGAGCAGGTAAAGAGTGCTACAGCTAATCTAAAGCCTAATTAGAGCAGGACCTACACATACAGCTGTCGCGCCTACCCACTTAATAGGGAGTAAGCAGCTAGGCGTTAGAAGCAAAGCTTTAAAGTAACTTTATAGGGCTACATAAAATATCTTGTAGGCTACAGAGCTTTAAATATCTACAGAATATAAGTTTTATTGCTTAACTAGGTAATTACTATAAAAAACATAGCTTTTAATAAGACACACTTTTATAAAAATAAAAGTAATAAGCTAATTTCTTAGAAAAAAGCCTTTAAAATTATTAAAATTTTTAATAAGTAAAGTAAGATTTATAATGCAAAAAAAGCTTTTAAGCTTTTACCTTAAAAGTTAGATAAGCAGTAAAGTAATATACTAAATTAGAAGCCCTAAAAGTGTAAGCTTAGAAGTGTAGAAACTAAAAAGCTTATTAGAACTTAGGTTAGCTAGCTAGAGAATTAGCACTTAAAGGTAGAAGTAACTGTGTAGGTAACAAGCATAATAAGTAAGTTACTAAGAATTTGCGCAGTTCCTAATAAACATATAGCACTTATTACCCTAGAGCTAACTCCTAAGCTAGAGCTTGTAGATAGCTCTACAACACGCCCTATATAGGGTAGGCACAAGCATACTAGTAATCCCTAGCAAGTGCACTTAACTAGAGAAGCAGATTTACTAGGCTTGTTAAGTTAAACAGCTAACTTACTAGTTAAAAAATTAACTTTTACTTTTTATGCTAAGACATTATCTTCTGTAGCTCTAGTTAAAGCAGGTAAGGCACCTTTTAAACATATGTATAATAAAAAGAGCTAGGGACTAGCTACACGCATAAGCTAAAGAATATAGAGGCAAAATCCTAATAACCTAGGTAAGCCTAAGAGTGCAGGAAGCAGAGGTATATATACAACACTCTTAGAGAGGAGCAGTATACGCCTAGCTCTAGTTAATCTAGAGCACCTCTAAATAAACTTCCTTAGAGCATTTATTACTTATAATAATAAAGCGCTTAAAATGCTCTACATAGTGTTTTTTACAGCTGCTTTTTTTAGGTAGCCTTAACTAAGAGCTTATAAGCTTTTAAAAAAACTCTTAAAATAAAGAGATTTATATAAACACCTATATAAAAATTTTTTTAAGATTACAGCATAGAAAGAGATAGCTACCCTACTTAAAAAAAGTACTTAGAAAGAGATTATATAAACTAAAGCAACATCTAAGCTGCTCTTACTAAAGTAGGTATTTACATATAAATTTAACTAGGATAGGTATTTTGCTAAATGCAAAGCTTGCATTTGTGTACGCAGTAATCTCTAGAGCAAGGACTTGCTCTAGTTAACCTATGCTGCTACTTTTGCAGCTAGATCCTTCTAAACAGTAATAGTAATAGCAGCTTAATTTAACCTAAAGATTAAGTAATATAATGTTATAAGCACATTTCTAAACACGCACTGTAAAGGTAAGCTAGAAGTAACATGTAAGCTTCTAAAAAGCTTTATAAAGCCTAGCATATGCGTTAAGCTTCTCTAAGCCCTATATAGACTACGCAACTTACTAATCTTGTAGTACTAGAAGCTTTTATAGGCTTTTTAGAAGCTTAACTTTATCTTATTTAAAAAGAAGCTATGCTTATTTTTTAACTGTAATTACTATATCTTACTTCTTTTTTATGTAGATAATATACTTTATATTTATTACTATAATAATAAGTTAAAAGCTTACTAATTAATTAGTGTAATTAAGAAAATGTACAAGCTAAAAGATTAAGGGCTGTGCAAATAGTTTTTAAAGATTAAAATAATTAAGAATAGAAAGGCTAGAATAATCTAGCTAGTACATAACACATATATTAAGAAAGTAGTAAAGAAGTTTAACTTTACAGAAAGCGCGCTTTTCCTAGGAACTCTTTTACTATTAGAAGAGCTTATAAGCAACTAGGGATTAGTAATAAAGCATAAAATTAAGAAATACTAAGAGCGTGTAGGATTAATACTCTACACTGCAATTATAGTGCGCCCTAATGTGGCGTTTGCGGCATCTTAGCTCTCCTACTACCTAACAAACCTAGGAAAGCAGCACTTCTAAGCAGTAAACTAGGCAATTGTGTACCTATACTGCATAAGGTATACAGGTATACAGTATAGAGCACTAGAAGGTGTGTAACTTATTATGTGTAGAGACGTGTCTTTTGCTAATTACATAAGGACTAGATAATTATTCTATAGATATATTATCTTACTCTTTAAAGGACTAATTCTATAGAAAGTAGCTCTCTAGCTAACAGTAACTACGTCTATAATAAAGGCTAAGCTGCTTGCTCTAGCGCACATTATAAAGGAATTGCTAGCTCTAAAACACTTCTTTAAAGAGCTTACCCTAGAGCTAGGCACACTATAGTAGATCTACTGTGACAACTAGCAGACAATTAGGTTAGTAGTAGAGGAGAACGCCTAGATAACTACCTGCCTGCGCTATGTTAATATTTAGAACATGTGGCTGCGCTAGGAGCACACAAAGAGATCTTTTAAAGTGCGCTATATTAAAATAAGTAACATGCTAGCAGATAGGCTTATAAAGCACCTACTAAGGCAGTAATTTAAGCACTTTAAGCAGCTTCTTAACTTTAAAGACACACAAACAAGCTTCTAAAGAGAGAAAGTGTTAATTATTAATAGTAGGGACATTTCTACACTGCTTAGGAACAAGAGTTCTATCTACTAGCAGGGACACTCCCCTATGCTATAGAGTTTAAGCAGGGATTTAATACATAAGATGCGCAAAAACACAGAAAACATAAAACGCCTAAACTATAAGGAGATTGCAGATAGGTTAAAGTTGTTTTTAAAGCTCTTAAAAGTATTAACTTACACGCAGCATGTTAGTTAGACTTATAGAAGAAAAGCTTAAGAAGCAGGAGAATTTATTTACCTCTGTTGCGGCGATCACGGCACGCACGTGACCTGCGCTGCCTAGGGAAACGAGCATTGCGCTGCCTAGGGAAACGAGCATTGCGCTGCCTAGGGAAACGAGCATCGCGCTGCCTGGGGCAACGAGCACAAACACAGGGTAAACGCGCAGCGCTGCTCCAACAAGCCAAGTTGACGCTCAACGCAGGTGAGCTGCTGCGCAGCTCACCTGGGGGGTGTGTCGCGTATACTGAGAGCCTTGGCTGGGGCTCAGAGCCTGGGACTGGGGCTCGGAGCCTGGGACTGGGGGCTCAGAGCCTGGGACGCAGCTCGGGATCTGGAGATATTATGTTCCGAAGCTCGGTGTATATAAGGAGAGCCTTCAGCTCTCTTAGATAGCAGAGTCACTTCATCCGATCTTCTGAACAGCTACTGCCAGGCTATTTTATCCTCCACAATATTCTTGTGCAAAGCTCCAGTTTCTCCACCAGAGTATTTGTTAATCGTGTAACTCAACAAACCTTCTGGAGAGAGAATTCGGTGACGGACTGGTTGGCCATTGCAAGAAATCGATGAAATCTATTCCGCCCCTACAAACATCGACGAGTACGCGAAGTGTCTCCTGGGGACCATAAAGTCATTTATGAAATATCTGGAGAAAATCTCGTCTCTGCCTAGCCGTACGTCTTAGATTGGAATAGGCATGGTGTATAATAGAACGTAGTACTGTTCCTACTGTTACTGATAGTAGCAATCTCTTGGCAGTTAGAACGAAAGTGAATTGCCTTCCGTTACTGTACAGTTAATGAGGCTAGAGTTACTGCAGTAACTGCCTATACTATCTATTGTTAGTACAGAACAGTAAAGTAACTCCTTAAGTATGCTAAACTCTATGTAGCACTTGCAGCTTGTAGCTAGTTTAATACTTTACAACCTTTTATTATCTTAAGAAGTTAAGGGCTGCCTCTAGGAACTCTTAGAGCTCTATAATTAAGGCTTTATCCTTTAGTGTTTTTATTCTTACAAGTTTCCTAAGGACTCTTGCCTTAACAACACCCTAAATTTTAACATTAAGTAGGGCAATATCTAGACTTGCGACCTCTAGCTAAAACCTAGGGGCCTTAGATATTATGTAAAAGGCTTAATTGCAGCTATCGCCTTCTACAATCTTAGAGTTAAACAATCTCCGCGACTATATTAGCAAGATTATGTTAAAATTAAGCCCTCTAGAGCCTCTAGTAACACTAGTTACTGCAGTAACTGCACTAAACAGTAACTTTACTATTAATTAACTTAGCAGTAACTGTTACTGCCTGTAAGGCTGTTTTAATTCACCCTTTCTGTAAGAACAAAACCCTATTGCCGCCAGTAACGCCTCTAAAACATTACTAACAGTAACAGTTACGCCCTATTAAACACCATGGGAATAGGTAAGGATGGGGTTATCACCTATGATCAACCTAGAGCTTCACGACGTACTTGAGCTCCTGTATACAATCCCTACGGGACTCCATTTAGAAGACGATTAAACGTCGGTGACGATCCTACAATCACTGGCTATTCATCAGCCACAAACCGTAATTCACCCCACTTAGCCGGCTCCTCAGCATTAGCACTGCAATCAACCTTAGTACATCAAATCTGAAAGAAGGGGCTTCGAACAGACTGTCTTCGAGCAAATAATCTCCCTTCATGAACACTATACTTAACCTCCATAGAATTGCTGGTACAGATACATATCAGGTGGGGTGGCATACTTTCACAACAGAATTAATTCCTGCAGGCTCCAGAGTGCCATTCAAATTAGAGACTTCGCATGAGCGCTACAGGCAACAACTCCTGGAATATATTTGGACATCAAGGCTGAACATCTAGCAAGCAGTTACATGTACGTCTAGCTATACGGTAAGTGCAGCAGCGGGCAACAAGCCAAAGTCTATCTTATGACGGCAGTAGCAATAGGGTCCCGAGATGGCAATATGGATTTACTAACATCGCCGCAAACAGCCCCAACAGCACTATTTCGTTCAGGAATCCAGCATACAACAGCAGTTCTATAATATTCGGCAGTGACGGCATCAACTATTAACCTCGTTCCCAAATACAGCCAATAAAAGTCCTGGGTCTGGAGCCGCCAAAGGGCCCTTGTTGATCTCTTCGCAGCCAAACTGAACCCCGCAGCAACCTCAGTGAACCCCATCTTTGCCTGGTGGAAGCTCTATACCACTTGGAGGATTTGAAAATCTAAAAACCTCCAAGCACTGACATTATGAATTGGCGGAAAAGGAAATGTATATTAAATTCTTCGGTCGAGATAAGAGACGCCATATCTTCAGAGAGTAGTTCGAAGCGGGGACTGGGGGGTTTAAGCATCGGAAGACTTGGACTTGCTGGGAAGATGTTGCATTGATTTTGGGCCCCAGAACACTCCTAAAACGCGTGGGTGAGCCTAAATAGATAATCCGTGGTGATAATAGAAGTTCTGGAAAATTTATCCATGATGGCCTAAGGGTATATGGACGAAATCTCGTGATGCCACATCTAGATCGCAGGAATGTGCGAACTCAATGGCATTGGTACGTGGCCACACCTGTCTATAATGGCAGGTTTGATATGAACTGTAATTCAGTGAGGGTAGAGTCCATCCATGGCGGTTGCTGCACGACTAGTAGAGATGATGACGAAACAATTCCTGTAGCTACGACGCATCTCAGTCTTATGATGAGCCAATCGTGGACACATTCTTCGACTGATTGAAGGATGCGAAGTCTGGACATGGTCCCCAAAAAGCGCTCAATTGTCTCATATGGTGCGCCTGGAATCTCCCCGCTCGTAATTTTATCCCACGCTACAAGGCGGGGATCTCCCCAAGTTAGGTTAAGCACATAGGTTGGATAACAAATTGGAGGGGTTCGAGGCATTCTTTATGGAGAGAAGAGCAATCGTCTAACCAGGATAACGCAAGCGCGGCAACGAACATACTCCCAGCGTTAGGGTAAACACCTCAGTAGGAGCACGTTTGAAGGAGTAATGGCGTGGGTGCTGGCTTGATCCCTCAACTAGTATGATGGCAAAATCTCGCCAATGTCGCGACAATAGAGCCCGCGTCCTGATGTAGATTTCGCTAATCAAAGAAGAACTCTTCAAACTGATATTCAAACCTTAGGTGAACAAGCAATTCTTGAGCCTCCAATGTTCCATATTCTTTCGCATGATCGAGCAGTAATACACAATACAACAGCTAACATTAGCAGCCGTTACAAGAACCCTCCTAAGTAGGGCAGTGCAGGTGCCAATCGTGGTTATCGGTAAACTCGATCATTTGCTCGCACGGATCGCACAGTACGTAGTGGAATGAGACCGGCCAGGGCTGTTTGTATAATTTCAAGATGTTCTGTACTCTTCCGGCCATGGCAAACCTCAGGTCAGAATTTGCCAGCCAACATTCGTGAATTCGCAAGCGAGGCCCTGATTAGCAGTAGTAGATAGACATTGGAGGAGTAATCTCTGTACAGCATAGAGAAGATGGTAGAGATATAAGATGAGTATCCAAAACTAGGGTGTGGCGGGAAGAGGGAATGCAGACGCTGGGAATCACTCATCAGGCTGCTACATGCATCGGTTGGTGGTTATGCAAAGTCCTGGAACTAACACGTGACACAGCGGGTCAATAATCTGTAGAACAAGAATAAAATTGTCGTTTAAAATGATGGAGTTGGTATTATGTTTTTCAACCATAGAAGGGTCTTGGGGGTTGGTAGAAACGAAACTCACGTGACTCCAAGCCCTTGTTCAACCTTAGAATATAGCTTCCAATACTTTATAAAGTATTAATCTTGACTCTAAAAGAGAGAACATTGCTCTATTTATTCTTCATCATCCATCGCGAAATACAATGATCACGTTTCTCCCCAGCCACTGACGCTCGCTCCCAGCCCCAGCCACCCAACAACCCCAACCACTCAAACCACGCCAACCTCCCCACCAAACCCAACCCCACGCATTCAACATGCAGCTACAAAAGTACTCTTCGCTCGCTGCACACCATATTCCCACTTCTCATACTACCTACATATTATTACTCCAGTCGCAATCCATACCACACTCCCAAGCTCCTGATTTTACATCATCCGTGCGACACTGCCCAGCCAACCGATCGAAAGGAGCTTGAGCTTGAGCTTAGACGTTTGCTTTGTTGGCACGCTTCGTTTCATCAACACGAATTCAATCGCAGCAGAAGATCGCTTTGAATATCTAGCCGTTGAGCTTGGAAACGAAAATTTAAAAGGGTATGTACAGCTTATGCAAGCTTTTAATTGAGCAATTCACTAACTTGTAATAGGATTCACAAAACCTTAGCCTTGTGCTTCGCTTTTCAGCACCTAACTCGAAGCTCCGACTCCCACCACCACCGCGATCTCCATCTCACGAAACCAGCCTAGCTCTTTCGTGTCATCCACACAAACATCAGCCTCCCCACCTATCCACCAAAATGAAGCGCAACATCGTCATCTTCCTGATCGTCCTCATCCTTTTCATCCTCATCGCCCTCATCGCCTACGTAATCTATTACCTGCAAACCCGAATGGCAGTCGGTGGTACCGCATCCAGTGTCTCAGACATAACAGAGGTGTAACTGTATTCTCTAATATAGTAGAGATACGAGGGGAAGAAGGCGATGGAAAGAAACATCATGATTGACGATTGATCGAGAACATACCCACGCTGTATATATGGATATGGATATGAAAAAAGGATCCTTCACTAGGATGGGACTGGGATTGGGGTTGGGATTCGCATGGCATAGCGGTTCGGCGTTCTTGCTTTTCATCATCATTGGTTAATACTCAGACGAATAGTCTGCGCACTGGTTGGATACCCGAAACGCATATCCGCGTTCGCGTTCAGATTCACCTTCTTACAGAATACACATATAGCTCAGCTCCGTTTTACATCTCGAATATCAAAGCTTCTGCTCGGCTTCCCGTGATCCAATTCTTCATATTCTCCCTTGATTCTCATTTTCTGTCCTGTGCAATTATTGCATTTGTTGCGATGGGTCGCGTGCGATTTTCGGCTAGATTACAAGGAGGCTAGGCTGAGTAGTGGTAGATGGTCAGATGGGTGTTCTTCCATTGAGGAGAAGCCGTAAAGGCTAATATCTGCAAAACATTGTTCACTGCAATGGACAGCGACGTGAAGAAAAGGGAAATCAATGCTCCTCACCATATATATATAAAAGGCTCTGATTCACTCCCTCAAAACACATTACCGAGCGTACGGACTATCACGCACAGCCAAGACAGTACTCAAATTACGCCCCGCAAATTTCCTCTAGAATACATGTATTTCCCCAGCGTAGCTGATCGATCGACCGACCGAATGCTCTAGGGCCAGGCCATCCGCTTTTGAAATTGACCCTATTGCGTATGCGCGTATTGCTACCTATTCAAGGCATACCTAGCGTACGTGCGTGGAAGTAAAGCCTCATACGCCATGCTGAAAAGCAATTCCACTGGATGAGATGAAACAATCCGAAACAGAGCAACCAAAAGAGTTGGCTAGAAGATGGGACCGAGGCGAGGTTGATTCCTAAGTGAGCAAGAGAGTGGGTTTTGTGGCATTTCCGGGGCCGTAAAATGACAAGCACTGAAAGGTAAATTAGATGTCGTCTCCTTTTATCAGCATGTCCTCTTTGTCTTCCCCATTTATGGCATTGTCGTGAGTGGTAAATACTCTACGCAGTTTGTCAGTCATGCGTTCTTGCTTTTGAGGCCAGCTGTTGAGGGGGGGGCATACAGGTGGCTCTCGTAATACTCCAGCATCTGGAAAGGGAAGGTTAGCATGTTCATTTGAAGGATTTATTTACAACTAAGCATACCTTTTGGGGGCACTTGCGGTAACAGTGCTTGAGAGGATGCTGTGTCTTCTTCTGGTTGGTCCAGACCAGATATGCGAATCGTGCTAGCTGACCAGTTTTGTTGTCGATACTCTCCTCGACAGTGTCAACGTACTCAACATCGTTCTCCCAGGATCCTGGTGGAGGCGACCAGTCCTTTTCTCGCTTCGGGCGCTTTGCGCTGGAGGCAGCGGGGGTGCCTGATTCGGACTTGAAGTTGGACTTCCGGCCCTTGCGCTTCCTGCTCTTGGCGGACTCCCCGGGCTGTGGGCGGCCGCCGATCTCATCAAAGTATTCATTGAGAACGTCGGTTGCGCCGGAGCTGATGGTCGCGTCAGTCTTCGGCCCAAAGCTAGAATGGTGGAAACAGGCCTACAGATTGTCCTCTGGCTCCCAAGTTCGGTCTTTCTTGCGGTCGTAGCCCATCCACTTTATCTCATACATGCAGACGCCCTGCAATTCTTAGTCTGCTGTGCCGTCCTGGCTCCAGACCCACTTACGTCGTCGTTGAACATATGCCCCAGGATCTTCTCGACAACAAATCTGTCCCATTGTTAGCTAGATGCCCGCTAGACAAAATCCAGGCAATGGCCCTACACTTCATCGTCGTCCTCTTCGCCCTCCTCTTCCTCTTCGCCCTGCTCCTCCTCTGGCTCCTGGGCGGGTGCGGCTTTGCCTTTCCCGCGGTAGGGAATTTCCTCTTCGCCAGAAGAGGCGTCGTTCTCCTCGTCGCTAAGAGCAGCTATGCGCAAGTGTCAGTAAAGACGCGCATAGAGTGGTGGTTCCGGGCGAGGGGCGCACTCACGAGGCATGCCGGGAGAGTGTCTGGGGAGCTGGTGGACGCGAATATAATGGTAGTAATAGCTTGAGATAGCTGAATGAATATCAGGAAAGGTCAATTGAGACGAAGCGCAATGAGTAAGGCAGTGGAGGCAGTGGAGGCAGCAGAGACAGCAGAGGCAGCGGTGGTGATGAGGCGAAGGTGGGTAAAATTGAGGTAGATTGGAGAAGCTCTGGGCAGGCGCGTTTGATGCTTGGTCTGTGCTCGGCCTTGGCGACCGATGAGAGTTCGCGTCTAGAAATTTCGACTTCCAAAAGTTCGACGACGCCCATTTACGCGTTCAACATCACGACCCCGCTTTGAATACCACTTCTCACCTCTCCTTTTCCTCGCACCAGCTTCTTCGCTTTCTCTAGTACTTGGAACTTCCCCAGTGCGGGGTCCTCTATCAGCATGGCGATGCGTAAGTGCTGCAGGCTCCAACACAGCTCCAAATTCTGCGTTCATACTTCCTCAGCCCTGGAAAAGCTCCCTGTGCTAATGCTTTGAGCGTACAGAACTCGACATGTCGAACGGTACGTCGCTTTGGCCTCCGTCTCGGAATGCGCCCCGCAACCCCGCCGCACCAGTCGCTAACCCGGCAAAAATACAGCCCAGGTCATGAAGGATGAGTCGGGACGGCCGTTTATCATTGTGAGAGAGTATGTGGCAGGCCCCTCCCAAACTTCGAAAGCTTCGGAGAGCTCATGAAGTGTGCAGTCAGGGCAAGAAGAAGAGGCAGCACGGCAACGACGCCGTCAAGTCACATATCTTGGCCGCGAGGACCGTGGCAAACATCGTCAAGACATCTTTGGTACGGCACAGAGCTGCATGCGGGTGACAGAAGCTTATTTGACATGTAGGGTCCGCGAGGACTGGACAAGATCCTGATCTCCCCCGATGGCGACATCACAGTGACAAACGACGGCGCCACCATCCTCTCACAGGTGCGCACAATGGCCCATGGCAGAATAAGTTGGTCTGACGAGGCACAGATGGAAATATCGAACCACGTTGCGAAACTCCTTGTCGAGCTCTCCAAGTCCCAAGACGACGAAATCGGCGACGGCACCACGGGCGTTGTTGTGCTCGCCGGAGCACTCCTCGAACAAGCCGCGGACCTCATCGACAAGGGCATTCATCCCATAAGGATAGCAGATGGATATGATGAGGCCTGCGAGGTGGCCGTTGCGAGGCTAGATGAGATCAGTGACGAGATCAAGTTCTCTCCCGGAAACACGCAGGAGCTGTTCAGGGTGGCCAAGACGAGTTTGGGAAGCAAGATTGTGTCCAAGGCCCACGACCATTTCGCCACCATCGCCGTAGATGCCGTTCTGTCCGTTGCAGACCTCGCCCGCAAGGATGTCGACTTCGAACTCATCAAGGTCGATGGCAAGGTGGGTGGCTCATTAGAGGATACCCTCTTGGTGAAGGGTGTCATAATAGACAAGGACTTTTCCCACCCCCAGATGCCCTCCGAGGTCAAGGATGCAAAGCTCGCCATCCTCACCTGCGCCTTCGAGCCTCCTAAGCCAAAGACAAAGCACAAGCTAGACATCACCTCGGTCGAGGAATTCAAGAAGCTGCAAAATTACGAACAAAACAAATTTACCGAGATGATTGAGCAGATCAAAGATACTGGAGCAAATATTGTAATATGTCAGTGGGGTTTCGATGACGAGGCCAACCATCTCCTCCTTACAAATCAACTCCCAGCCGTGCGGTGGGTCGGAGGCCCCGAGATTGAGCTTATTGCTATCGCAACGAACGGACGCATAGTGCCACGATTCGAGGATCTGAGTGCAGACAAGTTGGGCACAGCTGGAATCGTTCGAGAGATGAGCTTTGGCACAACTCGAGATAAGATGCTGGTCATTGAAGAGTGCGCAAACACTCGGGCGGTAACTGTCTTTGTCCGAGGAAGCAACAAAATGGTACGTGATACCATATCCTTTTCCCATTGGAGTGTTGTTCCATTAAATCCTGGGATTGGTTATTACTATGCATGTTGCACGGTCCAGAATACTACTGACGCAGGATGCCTTACAGATAATTGATGAGGCGAAACGATCATTACATGATGCACTCTGTGTTGTCCGGAACCTCGTTAAAGACAATCGAATTGTTTACGGGGGTGGAGCTGCAGAAATCGCATGTTCGCTTGCTGTGGAAGACGCGGCCGTCAAGGTAAGCGGCTACCCCTCCATCCGACATTTAATTCCATATTCAACAAATTCTAACTACCTTGCAGAGTCCCGGTCTGGAACAGTACGCAATGCGTGCTTTTGCTGACGCTCTCGACTGTGTCCCAATGGCTCTCGCTGAAAATTCAGGTCTTAGCCCCATCGAAACTCTAGCCAACATCAAGTCGCGTCAAGCCAAAGAAAAGAACTCGAGATTAGGCGTTGACTGTATGCAAACGGGCAGTAACGGTATGTACATCGTACATGATTCCTTATGTTGTCGATCTCTCCAAACCGGTGTGCATGTAATGTGCCGTGCTCTTCCTTCCCGTTCGCTTTTCTCCCTCATCCACCGTTATCAGCACGACATCACTATTTGCGATTCCATTTGTTGATTTTGTTTTCACCGCCGTTGGGCCTTGCGGCACGCCGGCACCTTGCGCACAATGCAGAGTCCCCGTGCCGCACGCCTTCGTTTGCCTTAGTGTCCCTCTGAACGTCCAAGCCCCCACGCTTTATCACCGCGTCGCGTTTGTCAAGCTTTTTAGACCATCACCAAAACAATTAACAATCGCAACCGAGGATGGGAATCGAGGAGTACGGAAAAGAAGCACATGTCGTTTTGTCACTGCACACGCGTTGTAGATGCGACGGTGTGGAAATTGCTCGTCTGATCGGTGTGCTAACTCGTTACGCATTACAGACATGAAGGAGCATTTCGTTATCGACCCGTTAATCTCCAAGAGACAGCAATTGTTACTAGCAACACAGCTTTGTAGAATGGTGTTGAAGGTACGTGTCCCTGCTTACTCTTCCTTTTCATCTTGTTTTTTATTTCACTCGCATCCCTTTTTTTTTACATCTCCCTCCCTTCCTCACATCTGGCGCCCCTTTCTTGGGACTCCCCAACTCGGTCACACGCCCCTTCTGTTCTGTCCCACCATCCAGTATCCATCACACCCGGCTCCCCTTGCGTCCCGCTTCCTACCCTCCCTTCCGGAGGCCTTGGTTTGTGGCGGCGACACACGTACGCTTTCCTTGATGCGGGGAGCGGGGAAGCTAGGTTGCAAGTGTTATACACACGAAGATGCAAGTCATTCGTTCCACAAGCCGGAATGCAAACACGACGTGTTCTTTTGCGGTGAACTCAAGCCGTGCGATTGGGAACGATGGGGGTGTGCACACTACGAGGAGTATGGATTTCACGAGGGTGTCCCTTGTTCGCAATTCGTTGTACTTAGCTCGCTTTGGGATGTCGTGCAGTTTTGATATTCCTTGCATGTTAGACTTGAGGTAATGTTAACGAATCGGATAGGTCAACAACGTCATCATCGCCGGCAGCGACGAAAACGAGTTCTAAACACCCGGCTCGCTGGGAGTGGTGGCACAGCGTCGCGTCCGAACTCTTCATCGATGTAATTAGCGGCACCGGAAATCTGCTTTGCCCACGCAGCTTTTCAGTTCAATGCTTGCCCGGTCCGAGTTAGTGCATGCGAACTGGGCACCGATGCGTCAGAGATGGGTAAGACATTTCGGCGTGGAGGTGGATAGATAGCTTGCATCGTCGGAATTCGAAGGCCGGCTGTTGTGCTATTTCTAAGATACCAATAGACCGGAGAGACAATAAAAAAAAAGACTTTGCAATGAGATAAGAGAATGGGTTTGGTATTATGCACGCAGTCTAAACAATTGAAAGTATCAAAACGTTGCGCTGCGCCGGAGTCTGGAACTTCCTAAGAGAGGCATCCCGAAGTTAAGGTTTATTCCTATAGGACAGGGAACCAGGCGCGGGTACCCAGATGCGTTGGACGAGATACGAATTAGATATGGATGGCCTGATGTGAAGTCCAGTACTGACTTCCCCCTTTGCGTGGAGAGATGAAGTCATTAATCGTGCAAGCGTACACATGATAGAAAGTGGTAGATGAAGTCGGCCTTGTTACATTCGCCACCCTGAATTCTCACCCACGGATATCGACAACATGTCTATGCACTGTGCTATATCATGTGTCATACAATCTAGGAAGCAGCACAATGCCGAGGGTGAATTTGTAAGAGTCTGCAGCTGTGTCCTACAACTACCTGCCTGAGTCCCTCTTTCGAACAAATGGGGACGAGGCGCTTGGATGCAGGAACAACGGAAAACAGAAATTGGACAGGTAAGCGAGCGGAATTTCGAGCAGCTATAGCCTGGGAGCGAGCATAGTAGATCTTAGAGATATATGAAAGACGAGGGCAAGAGATCGGTAGAGACGAGGTGTTGATGTGTGTACGACTTGCTCTGTACGAATCAAGGGGAGCTGGCTGATTGTACGGAATTCACGGCCTTGATGGTATAAAATTGGAATTATGGGCTATACAGAGGGGAGTGAAAGGGAGTACAGGGGAGTGTAGTGGTGAGGGAGAGGGGGAGCGGAAAGGAGCAGAGAGGGAAGGGAAGCTTGCTACAGAAAAGGGGGTACATTTCTGGAAGGGGGAGGGCCGGGTGGAAAAGGTATGGAGAATATCAACGCGAAGGGAGTTGTATGGCAGCAGCATTATCTAAGTGAATTTGGAGAATTGTACTGACAAGCCACGTTTGAACACGATGGTATCGTTCGAGACCTACCCAGCGTAGTATAGTGGCATGGTCGTTGCCCTCCTAGAGTTCAGGCCAGCCAATGGGATCTGTCATAAATGTCGAGCATCTTTGCACTACGTATACTTGAGAAGGAAAGAACAGATGGTAGATGATAAGGGGTTTAGGATAAGTGATCAACTCAAGATTTTCTTAAGAGGATAGAATCGAGTATTGGTCTAACTTTCACCCACATCCTTCCATTACCCCACTCAGCTCTTAAAACTTAGTTCAAACCCTTCACGATTCCACGTGCACTCCCTCTGGCCCCAGCTTTCCCTTCTCACCCCATCTTCTCCACCTCCACTAAGACATCTCCCCATCCATCACTCATCAACAAACGCAACCACGATACAAACCCCACCACACCCGATCCACTCTCAAACCATTCAATTCTTCGGTTCGAGGTCCCCACAAGTCCGTAGTCCGACCGTCTCACGACCGGAGAACTCTCGGACGCTCTCCACGACTGTTGACCCCAGATCCGCAAACGCATCGACCACAGACAGCACCCTCCCCTTCGATCAAAGTCCTGCAGGCACAGACAGGCGCAGAGACAACACACTCCCCCGTTACCGTACTGCTGGAACTCGGAAATGCACACGCTAACCGGGACTGCGCTGCTCAATCGGCGCAGGCAGACAGGGCAGGGTTTGGGGCAGCATCAAACTCTGAGAGAGCTCGAATTCGCATTCGGGGTTTGGGCTGAGGCGAAGATCGGAGGATGATTGATTTGGAAGCTTGGTCGGAGAAATTCGGAAAGAGTTGACACAAGACGTCCGTATACGAGATGTGCTGGTGAGGGTCAGGATGCCGAAGCGGATGTTGTTGCGGGTACCGAGGTGGAGGGTTGGAGGTCCGGAGCCCCGCATCAGGTGCACGGATTCAGGTGGAAGGGATGATTTGTGGGAAGAAATATTTGCGTTGTCCACGAGCGAGGTGATACACACGTGGAAATGGAAAAGAGCCGGGGTGGAAGTGGAAATGGGTGGGTTTGCCCATGTTGGAGACTTAGATTGGATGCATGGGCGGAGCTTAGTTGAGATAATTGCTGGTGAAGGAGGAAAGAAATTCGCAGGGTTTAATTGTCTAGCACTATGGTAATCGTCTGATCTAGTAAATTCGACAAGCAGGACAACCTCAGGATTCTCAAGACTCGAGATGGAAGACAACTTAACGCTATGTCAAGAAACATTCAAGATTCTTTGACAAGAGAAAGAAAGGTTTCAACCCACGATCGTTTGCAAGGATAATTGAAGCAAATGTAGGAATTGGTGTCCAGGTTTTAGACAGGAATAAGGATAACTCGGACGATGTCTGAGTAACATGACAGTAGCGTCTCAGAGTTGACAATTCTCCTTGAGAGGGAAGGCCCTTCTTCCTGCCAATTACTGCCCAAGCCATTGTAGCACATTAGCAGCCACACCACCAAGAAAGTCCACCATAGACCTAGGATCAGCTAGTAGCAAACCCGCAGTCTCCCGCTCCCACCGTGTCTTTCTGTAACAAAAAATCGCGTAACTTACCTGGACCTTACATACAACGCTACCACTTCGGTCCCAAACACCATCTTCCCGCCAAGCTACACCATCAAACCCACAGCCACGCCGACACAGCAATAACCTCAAGACCGCATCTCATCTCCACTCATCCTGTCTTGCCCACAACCCAACCCCTGAAGCGTTCTCGCCGGTCGCAACATAAGTGGGACTTCTCTAGAAATGCAAGGTCTAGACGCTAGACCACAAGCTTTGGTACAGTTCCTACCTCTATTTCACATGAAGTGGCAAGCAGATGGCGGTGAGCTGCCTTGACAATGTCTTCCATGATCGCGAGGCTAGTGCTGTGGCTAAGTAACGCATTATGCGTCCCGGCGGGTCCGCACATCAGCAACGCATGCAGACGCTCCATCGTCAAGACTCTAGTTCTTGTGGACAGGGTGAGCATGGATAATCTCGGGCATTCACGGGGAAAGCCTTTGGTGGAGAACTAAGACTGTGAGGAATGACTAACCGGCCAAACGAGAAGAATGCGGCCGAAGAGCTGGTGTGGGGATGGAGAGGTGAGAAGGAGCGGAGAAACGTACGACCGATTAAGGAGTACTCGGCGGAAAATCGGCGCCTCCAAGTTACAGCAACAGTTTCTGTCTCAGCTCTCGCTGCATTCCATTTCACCTTACAAATTTTAACTTTTCAACTGTAGACGCTGTACACGCCCATGTAAAGCAGCTAAGCGCAACCGACCCAAAAAAAATCCCGGATATTTAAAATGCAACCGTATCCCAGTCGGAGGCTTAAAAAAAAGCCCAAAAGCTGGAATGCTGCTCGTGTTGGTTGGGTATTAATTGGCACCGGCAAGTAGACAGGCTAAATTCGCACGTGGAAATCCCGACGTTGTCCTGCAGGCTTGTTCGGCATGTTCCTCAAGCTACCGTGGCTCTTTTCACACCCCCTTCACACCTTTGAAAGTATTTCTACATCGTATGATTCGTACCTTTAATTATCGTATTCTACCAGTCTCCGGATGCTCTGTTCAGAAGCATGGTTGGTAAACGTGTTGATTACAGGACAATTGTTGAGAAGGGTGTCCGCCGTCGGTGTGCCAATATTCGACATGTGAATGACATGCGGAAATTAGCACATCGTCCAGCGAACTGCCAGATTAAGAAAATGCTGCATTAGTCGGCGAATCACCGGTCGATCTTTCAAAGCTTAGCCTCTCCTCTCGTGGAGGATCCTTCTGGATCAGGTTCCAAACGACTGGTCGTGTGTGCACTCTAGAGAATTCTTTGCAGAGGCTGGGCGGAGAAGTGATCGTCTTGAGTTGTTCTCAAATTAGCTCACTGAATAGGAAAGGAAGAGAGATGTGGAGAGGGTCGCTTATATGTAAGGGAAAGGGGCGAGTTTCAAAAAAAGAGAATGGCTGGTGAACTACTAGTTTCCGAACGACGTGAACCATGTGTACCGTTTGTTGGTGGGCTCAATAGTGGAACTAATCTAATCATAGATCTCGATTATCGCTGCAATGGTTATCTGTTCATTAAACTAGTGCGCAAAACTCAGTCGCAAGGTCTTCCCACTCCCCATTCGAATCCACTTTGCGAGAGAAAAAAAATTCGGCATGCGACATTGTGCTAACAACATCTACCCACCTCTCCCTATTTCCTCTTACACATGTGACTGCGGACCCTTCCTACGTTTGTATTTTCGTGGGTCTGTATGCAGTTAGGATATTCTTTCGATGGTGTTTAAGATGTGATGCACGAGAGAGTGTTGGAGATAAGGACGGATACCTTTTCGCGACATCTTGGCCGTGTCCCTCGTACCTGCATAAAAACGTGGATCATCAGTCATGCTCACGCCAAATGCAGTACAACATGCGGGTAAGGGGCCTTCCGATCAGGGAGGAATCCATGGAGAAGATTGCCGTAAACATCGCGGATTCACGGCAAATCTAGGGCTTGCGTGCCGGATTTCTCGGCATGGAAACTCCAAAAGGCACAGAGCTGTCGATCCGATACCTCGAGTCGAGGAAATAAGTGTCAGCCCTACCCCGGATGTTTCGAATCGACTGCCACATGCGCAACGCCGATCCGGGGCAAAGGATATTTCCACGAGGCAGATGACCGTTTCAAGTACTAGCCTTCCCTGACAATGGCTCGAATCGCGAATTTCTGCTCCCGGGAAGTCATCGCTGTTTTAGGAGTTTCCGTGCTGGAATTAACTTTCATGCCGTGTCGGGGAAGCTAGGAAGCAATGATTCGTGCAGAATCGTGGAGAAGCACTTGAGACAGGGGGTGGAGGATAAGCGGATAGGCCGACGTCGCCCTTCAGGCACCAAGCTTGGGCTGTCACTTTGCGAGCTTCATGACTCTGGTAGGCATGACGAACAATAAGGCCAACTACCATGTGGCTAAGCAGCCATTGGAGCTTCTTCTTTGTTGAACATGCTTGGCTCTCTCGTCTGAAAGAGTCGGGCCGAAGGTGACATGTGCAATCAAGGAACCAGATCCTAACAGTATTGAAACATTACGTACCTTGACCGCCCTCCCAAAAACCTTTGCCAGGTCTCACGGTAAGCCAGGCGTGGCAAATCCCACAATCTTTGGGACGATAATTTTGCTCTCTGGAACCTATCGGGTTCACATGTCAATGAAACTCTTATGACAGAGCGGAACAACACAGCGTCCACGTTCACCCGGGTGGGGCAGCGCGAACAAGAATAGACGAGGCAATATCAACTCACAGAAACCACTAAAGGCATGTCAAAAGTCAGCATGATTCCCGAGAACAGGCCGTTTGCAAAGGGGAGCGATGAACCGTTGTTGCACATGCGGAAGGTTTTTGATGAGGCGCAACATGTGCAGGGATCGACAGCGGGGAATCTGACCACAATTCACAAGCGAGTGCTTGTTGTTCTGCGGGGTGGACAAGGCCAACTTCCTCCACCAACATGTGTGGAACAGGTGATGATAAATTTCTTCCAGCTCACATGCGAAGGGTAGGGATCAAGATTCACGTACCATAGCATCCTGTTAGCATGCTCAATGGGGTGGTCTGCAACCTGGTCGTGGCACCTGCAGCCGCCGACGTCAACAATCAAGCTTCTGGAAAGGGTACCATTGTTGAGCATCCTCCGTGATAAAGCTATTTCGCGGATGCGGGAGGGAGCGCCTTACATACCTATCGCATGCGAACACCTTTTGGCAACACGAAAACCTAGCAGAGCGCGTGAGGCACTGAGACATGTCACTCAATTACGAAAGGCGTCCACGCACCTGAACCACCGGTAACTCTTCTTGTAATGTGAGCATCTGCCCTGGTTGGCCAATTCTTGCCCTACCACGATGCCTAAATTTTCCAATTTCTGTTATCATCATCAGTCAAGGATTCGCTCATCCGATGAAGCTCTTGGGCAGATTCGTCAGAGCATGGTGTGATGAGGAGAAGCAGGGGTAAGCTGTCTGCAATCAAGCTTATGACACATATCGATGCGTGGTGTCGAAGTAAGCCCACCTAGGAAAGCTGTACGCACCTTTTTCCGCGTGGGCGCTTTGCTGGTGCGGGCTGGAGAAGAGAAGAGTCAGTTTCGTCTCAGATAAATTTTTGGTGTTGATTCATAGGGATTCGTGTCTCCTTGTTTAATGTTGAGGTGAATGGGTCGGCGACAACTCCGGACTGCTGGTCCATCCAAAGAACAGATGTCATTCGCTCTTACCTGTACTGGCGCTGATTCTCAAGAACTTGATCTCTGGTATCCGAAAAGCTTCGAAAATTCAACGAATTAGCAAGCCGGCTATCACAATGCCGGATTGTTGAGCAGCGGGTGATCCTACACATCTTCCGATGGCACTCGCGGCAAAACGCCATTGACGTCTCTCCCCTAACAGAGATAACTCCTACCCGTGTGTAGACCGTTGAACATTCTGCACACGTTGGGATGAAGGAACTTTGAAGCGAGTTTGTAGTTAGATGAGAGTGAAGACGGTGCAGTTGTAATTGTTACCTTGGTAGCATGTCGACGACACTACATCCATCAAGATCCAGATAGCCGGCGCGAACTGAATTGGCATGCATGAGGTCTGCTCTAAACCCTTCGACATGTTAGCGGGTCTTGCAGTGGGACTTAGGGTAGCCAAGGTGTACCAATTGTGAACGGATTGGCACATTTATTACAGGAATCCGATCTTGTGTGGGAATCCTGGATGTTGTTCTGAAGGTTGACGACATCCTTGGTGTCTTTGCAACGGTCACATTTCACTGTAATGTTTAGCGTTCCAATCTCTAAAAGTTCAACGGTGTGTAGATCAATATGTGGAAAGGAAATTAGAATTCCCCTTTCCTGAGATGGGATTTCAGTAGATGACATTTCGGTAGACCCAGATGCATCATGCTCGCTTCTATTAGCGTCGTTGCTAGTAGTAAAGCGTTCGTCGTCTTCCGACGAACTATCCGAGCTCTCAGCATCATTTTCGTTACCAGTGTTCCATTCTGGAGGCGTTGGGATGGTGACCTGGTGTGGACGATCAGGTAGTCTGGATAGAGGAATTGGTTCAAGAGCACTAAAACTTGGTCCGGATTTCAACCCTTCTGGCGACGTTGGTGCTAAAGTAGGATTGATTACGTGGGGCTTCTCTAGAGGTTCGGCCGTTTGCTTAGCCATTAAATTCATATTCTGTGAAAGATAATTCATCTGGCTGAGGAGGGACATCTCAGGAAACTTCCCAGCCCGGGAGAGGAATGAATCCTGCACGGCTGATGCTGAGTCACCAGTAACACCTACCAGCTCAATTCGACATGGCAAGAGGCTATAGTTCTCGGGAACAACTAGCTTGACCAATTTAACAGCTTGGAGCTCGATAGGAAGGTCTCCTCGCCTGCGTGGCTCAAACGGGACTGTATAGGTGAGACCATCTGAGGATCGAGAGAACTGGGGTAGCCTGCCCATGCGAGCCTCAAGCTGCTTCGTTTCAGCGTCGCGGGACTGTTTCGCTCGTGACTTCTGCTCAGAAGTGTGAACAATGAGCGGATCCGCAGATCTCTGGAGTGAGGCTGGTGGTGAGGGTGGTGCCTGGCGTTTACCCCCCACAGTAAGATGACGTTGGGTTTCATCCTTCTCTGCCTGCTTGTGAGACACAATCTTGACAGTGTCCGCCTTCTCAGACGATAGGAAACTCTCCAGTTGTCTGTCGAGGGAGTTCAGGTGAGCAAGAAGATTCAAGGATGCGGATGTGGCAACTATCTTATCGAAACCACGCTCGATGTTGATTTGATATCCCCTTTCCATACTAGGATTCGTCACTGTGAGCGTGGGTTGGCCCCCATCTGGGTAATCAAATGGAACGTGTAAAGTGCAGTCCAGCGCGTCCATATCAAAGGGGAAATCAGGGTCAGACGGTCGGAGGTGGAATGTTAGTATCGTGGCGCTATCTTTGTCGTGTTCTTCCGGAGTAAATCTCCGTCGAAGCTGGGAAAGCTGATACTCCCTAGGATCTGCGAGCTGCGACTGGGGAACTGGGCGCTGGGTAATGCGAGAAGTATTGACGGGAGCATGTTGGCGCCCTCTTGTGCTACGAGAAGGGACAGTTGGGTCTGTTTCCGCACCCACGGCTCGTTCGAGTTGTCTCGAGGGCGGGGATCTGCGTGAAGGCTGTTGCTGCACGGTGGCAGTTGACTGCTGGGCGGTATCTATGGCCTCATGTCTGAAAGGACAGGCAGCGCCGGATCTGCACCCTAGCAGCATTGGCGAAAAAGAACAAGTCAGTATTTGCAGCTCGCGAAATGAGAGGTGTGACAATGCTTGGGGAGGCAAGGTGGTTCAGGTGATGGGAGACCCCCACGGCTTCAACAAATGAAAGCACGGGATTCGGAGAATTAGGTGACGGAAAGCAAAGTCGCGATATCACAGTGATCACAGGATAGGAGGCGTCAGCATATTACCGGACTTTTGACCAAAATATCGACAGCGAGCTCTCCGCGGTGGCGGAGTTCCTTGTTGATGAGGCTGAGGAGCAGCCAAACCACAGGTGGAAAGCCCTGAGCGCCATGAGCAGATGACCCTTTTGCAGCGCTAACTTGCCAGCGCATCGACTCGACGTACCGACTGGGTCGAAGGGGGCGGGGCGGCCGGTGCCTGATGGAGCGTCGCCGCTCATTGAGGAGCCGGGGAAAGCGTGAGGGTTGGTTGTTTTTAGAAGTCTGAGATGGGATGATTGCAAACGCGCTGGACCAGCTCTGTGCTGCGACACTGGGGCTCCAGATCCTAGACTGGTGCTGAGAAGCTGGGTAATCCGGGGTAGATGTCGCGGAAGGCAGATTGGCGAAGGACTCCCGTGGTCAGGTGGTGTGCAGTGCACGGTGGTGAGCAAAGCTGATGCGGAGAGAATGAGGCCGCGAAAACAGGCATTGGTGGCGGCTTCCTCAACACCGCGAAGGAAGAGCCGTGATGGTGAATGGATGTCGATAAGGCCTACTCCAAGACTCCTGCGCATGTCATGGGGTTCGTAGTGGATACCTAATGATACGGACGTGTGAATTTGTGAGTGTCGATGCCTGATTCATAAGGCTGAGTGCTCGCTGCACCACTTGACGACGATCTTCACGATGCAGCGGCTTTGACGCGCCGACCACGCCTGCTGCGACGCCTGCTCCGACGCATATGGCCAGTCCAGTGGCCAGCTGTCTCACGAGCGCAATAATCTATCCCCACCATGTCCTCAGTGGCCGGCCCGCCTCGGTCAACCGCCGCGCCGTGGCTCTCCTTGTGATGAGGAGGCGTCGTCACGTCGTCAAGTCGTCAGGCACGCATCAATTCACAGGCCATCACAGGCTCATGGCGCACTGGAAGCCGGCCCGAGGGAAGCAGAGGGCAAAACGAGCCTGGATAACGAGCGCTATATTGGCATATTGGCTCGTCCGGTTGAGCAATATCGTTGCATTTGCCGGTCCAGCCTCAGCAATAACAGCGAAAATGTAAAAGGTCATCGTGACACTACGACCTCGCCGCAGAATCAAGCACTCGCGGCAGATGCAACGAGAATAATGGTCCCCTCGCGCCGCCGTCCGCCTGCTCTATAAGCCGGCACTCTTAAGTAACATCCGCCATTGGTGCCGCCGGGCCATGCATAAAAACTACAGCACAACGTGCATAAGCGCTTCCTGGGCATCCAAATTTGTGAGATGATTCAGAAGAGCGGTAAAGGGAGGCCTGCTGAACGCTGCCTGCTCTCGTATCAATCGTGCATCTTGTTGGGAACTGAAATCCCGGCGCAGCTGATGAGAAGAGAAGGCCCATGAGGCCTGGAAACAATGGCTGAGCACCAGTTGTCATGATCCCACGTTGTTGCATTCGCTCACCGGCTGTCACCATCACAGAATGAACGAAGCCAATGGCTGTTTTGAACTAATCTGTTTTTTGTTTTGAATTAAGTACCTAAACTGATTACCTGTCTACCTATTGTGAGGTAATGCTGTCAAAGAGCAGCAACTACGACGCTTGAGGCGTCAGCTGCCCATACAGGGTATAATGGCTCCACGCAGAAGCCCCATAAAAGTACAATGCAGGTAATAGTACAGACCGTGGACGGGTAATGCTCGACGAAGAAGTGAGACCCATACCACCAGGGCGCGAGCCGGTGACGTGTCTTGGAAGCCGAAGTAAACCGCCCAGTGTCCGATGTGATGAAGAGGAATGAAGGAAACTCGTAGCCTCATAGGCATACTCGATGCCCGCGTGGTATCAAAAAGGTTATAGGAGAACATTACCCATAGTCGGCCGTCCAGTGCGAGGATGGAACTGGAGGAAGTAGAAACTGAACAAAGACCAAACGCCAAAACGACCCATGCCTCCATCCGTAAATGCCGCTGAAGCTGGAAAATGTAATGCTAAAAGAACGGGCCCCGCTACCATCCCTTCTGGTGATACTCCTGAAGGCCCTGGTCGAAGTAATCGTTATATGAATTGTTGTTTTTAGTGGCGTCTTTGAAGGTTAATGATTTGTTCACCCCTTGCTGGGGGAATGCGTTGAGACCCTTGATGTCATTGGTGGTCGCAGCTCGACGGAGGGCAGGTATCGATACCGCTGAGTGTTGACGCTTGTTAACAGCGTTGGTCGTCGCATTCTTCTGCTGCCGTTCCCAGAGAAGGTTTTGACGAAGGGACTGAGTGAGCTCCGTCTGCAGCATATTGCGGCGTGTGGTACGGGGGGAAAGTGCAGGCGGGTGTACATTGGAGGTAGTCATGATAATTGGTTTCGACCGAGTTACTTGGGTCCTCATCATGAGGCCGCTATCTTCTTGGGGAGAGTTACCGGTGGATGGCCCGTTGGAGGTTCGAGATCGTCGAATAAGGGGAGTGGACCGTGAGGCTGCATTCTGGAGTGCTGCACTCTGGAAGCCCTGTGCGCGTTCACCTTCATGCATGAGCGTGGTCAGGAGGGAACGGTTGGAGCGGAGTTCGGGCCTCGAATCCACTCTTGGGAAATGTATGGGACCATCCTTCTCGGTCATGCTGGATGGCCCACTTACGTCCTCGTCCTCCCAATCGTCCTCATCTTCCGAGTCCTCAATTGCATTGTCTGAGTCCTCCTCTTCGCTTTCGCTCTCGATGGCCTCCTCGCTCTCTTCAGAAGAAATGGCATCCTGGATGGTCCGGGTGGTGACCTCCTCCTTGAAGGAGGTTGTCTTACGCGAAATTGCAGGCTTCTTCAAACCATCTGATAGAGAGCTGCGCTTTGCCATGCACATGGACGTTTCGAACGAGCTGGTGTTGTCCTCGTCAGACGAACCACCTAGGGTGAACATAGGCTGCTTCTTCTTCATTGGCTCGGCCTTGGTGGGCTCAGGCTTAGAATGGGTGGAGTTTTTGAGGATGGGCGTAGGGTTCAGGTTGGTGCTGGAACGCATTGAAGTAGAGATACGGGAGGAGTCGAATCCACGGACGATGCTGTGTGAGCTCAGGTCTGTGGACGTGCTTGCATCAGAGCCAACGGGCGGACTCATGCTATCGCTGCCGAGCGCTGTGGCTACTGTTGAAGTTGATGATTCTGGAACGAAGCGGGCTGCCGTTGGTGGGGGGGAGGAAGGGCGAGGGGTGGTGTCTTCGCTGAGCTTCTTCTGGTGAAGCGGGAGCGGTTGGGCGAGCTGTGGTGGAAGGGGAGATAGCGGCTCGATGGGTCTCTTCTCTTGTATTGAGCTTACGACCTTCTCCAAGTCAATGGGGGTGATGTGCTTTTCCCGACCGCGATTCCTGCTGTCCGTGGAGTCGTGGCGGCGGATGTCTGGACGTGAAGACGAGTTCGAGCGCGAGCTGGCAGTTGCCGTGATGGCAGTTTCCGAATTAGAGTCGTCCGAGGCCACGCTGGAAGACAACTCTGGGATCTCGGCGTCGCTGGACAGACGCCGTCCAAATGACCAACGAGGGGGAAAGATGTGATCGGGGGCGCAGCAGAAGGTCTCACGGGACCAGAGCCGCCAGGCCATATTCTCATACCGTTTTCCGTCCTCCATTGCGGGAGAGCATTTGGAGAAGACTGCATGCATGCTGCGTCAGTGACAATGGCTCCCAAGCTTTAGGGCAGCGAGCGTGCACACAGCCATAAGCTGCTGAGCACATGGAACCCACAGCGCTCACAGGGAAGACTCACCAGACCACAGGCCGAACAAGTTCTCCGGATTCCGCGTCTCTATCGTGTGCATAGAGCCGGGCTCAACGCGCACAATTGGGCGCTCCGTATGGAGAGGCATGGCAGCAGCGAGCAGCGCCGTTGCTGCGGTCGTGGTAAAGAAACTGGGGGGAGACTGTGTCGGGGTGCCGTTTTCGTCGGCGGTGCTGGACTTGCGATTGCGTCAACACCGGATCGGCAGCAGCCGCACAGATCGGAGCCGCAGCGAGGTCAACAACGGGTGTCGACGGCGCACATAGGTGACGGCGGGGTGAGGATGGCGGAATGCTGCTGTCGTCGTAGAGATAGAGCGTAATGGAGAATGTCGTGCCTGGGGAGGATGGGCAGGTGAAGCGGTGTGCTTGGTGGTGGGTGTGTATGTGTGGCAGCGGCCAGCAGTATAAACGGCCTTTGTCGGGACGGGGCAGCGCGAGTGAGATAATAAATCCGTGGGACGCACTGGGCCTCTGGCTGCTGGGGGGCACACCCTAGTCACCACGTCCACAAGCCCTTCACTGCGAGCCGTCACGTCGGGACTTCACCCCTGCACCTGAAAAACGCCCCCAGGTGAGGGTCGGTCGGCAGCGCTCCAGCAGCCCCAGCCCGACGCTCGAACCTGGCCAGCCGGAGGACGCCCCCCAATCTGCCCGTTGCTCTTCTGCTCATTCTGTTCTTCTGTGATTGATGACTGGCGCCTTGCTTTCCGCGCTCGACTTAACTTCTCTGCGTGTGGGCCGTGACAATGCTTTACTAACTCCTTTGATACTATGGCTATGACCCTTTCATCTCGCCGCATCGATGGCAGTGTAGTAGAGACTGGTCCCCTCGCCGAAAGTGACCCTATCCGCCACCGTGAGTACTGCGTTTCTGACCTTCTTGAGTCGTCGGCGCCCGCGCGTGGCAGCGGGGGGCATGCGACGGAGCCCCTGCAAACGACCTTTGGCTCAAACAGACTCGCTGTCTGGGCGTGGGGAGCAGCACACAAGCACACATCACGAGGGCTGCCAAAAGGTTGTTCTTCCAGAACCCCCGACGAAGAGGCTGACTCGTCGCACCGACCGCCCACTGTCACTCTCCTAGGTCAGGCCCCTCGCTCCAGATGCCTATGAATCGCCGCGACAACTGGCCGAGCTGAAGCCCATCTGCCATGGAGCGCGCGAGTTACCGCCGTGAGCCCTCGGACGGCTCGTTGACTGGTTGCGTCCGTTCACGGCCTGTGTCGCACATCTTCCTGTCACCTGGACGTCTCGCCCTCCAGCAATACGCGCCTCCCATGGATCAATACCGCTGAATCAGCCGTTATAATACACGCTTGTGGGGGCATGTGACTTGACTCTTGAGACCTGCAGGGGTTCTAAGTCCAGCCTCTCCGCCGCATTTCTTTTTCCCTCTCTCGCTTCTTCCGGAAACCCTGTGAATACCCTATCTAGCCCGATGGGGCACGCGTCTCGTCGCCTCGTCGGCAGTACTGGTCACTACCGGACGGCGTCACGGAAATTCTAGACCCTAGAAGCTCTGTGACCAGGCGATGCGACGAGTCATCACAATTCCACTCCCATATGATAACTACACACCTACAGCCTCACGACGATCGGTACCAGAGTATGCATCATCGAGTATTGAGTCCTGACGGCCTTGGGAGCCTCACTTCCATATGGCCTTGTTAGTGCGAAACGCTCCGCTCCGGGCCAGGGCATCACATGGTCCTCGACTTTTTCCGCTGGCGCTCAGAGCAGTGTCCGGGTTCTAGTGACATGCCCCATTTGGAAGGCTGTTTCCGCCACCAAATGCTCCACGTCCAGAGGACTGCCAGCAAAAGCCAGCGAGCAGCTACTATCGGGCTTTTAATTGTCCACGAACTGCCCCCAGTATGCGTGCAACCGTCTGTGAGATTCGAAGATTGTTGGTCATGTTCTGCACGGTGGAGATGGTCGCATGGGTACATGGCACGAGGGACAAGGAAGGCTAAATGCGGTACGTACAGAGCGACCTTGAAGATAATCTTCCCCAGCTTTCAGCTCGGACGTGGTGAAGTGTCGAGTCACTCTGTCTGGCAGTAGCGCACAATGCCTCCGTTGCCGTTCGAGTTACCCGCAAGGTTAGCAATACTGCTACGTCAAGCGTTTACAAAGGGACTTCCTCGAGGTCATCTGAAGGCTTGCGTCGAATCACTGTGCCGCACAAGAATCATGTGCGACGTCCTCTTTTGCTGGAAGCGGCGTGATGAGCCGGTTTCATGTGTTGTACAAATTGCAAGAAATCTATGACCTCCGCTCGGCAGTGATGGGAGCACTGCGTGGCATTTTTACCAACGAACTTGCGTCCTGAGCACTTGCGCCTGACAATCGCTACCACGCTCCGGGTTTAAAGAGATCCAGCACACGATGTATCAAAGGACTTCATCCAAAGTAGCTACCCTTCGACCGACATCGGATCCGCTGCATTACCTGCTGCCTTAGGAGCGTCCAAAACTTCGACAGACCTTCTCCGAATTTCGTAGGAATTGCAAACCTCCAAGGCTGGTTGCCATCAGTAACTCGCGACAGAACAAAGTATTTCCCCACCGTTTCACGGTCCGTGGGTCCGGCAGAAGTGTCGTGTGTCTTTCCCCACAAACCCACAAATACCCGGTAACGACAAACATGACTTCAGCCCCCAAAAATGGCTGTTCTGTCTTGACTCCAAGAAAGAAAGCGCGTGGTTTCATAGTGGATGCCTGAAGGCTGTCGCTGAGCATGATAACATATAGGACGGGCCTCATGGTCGAGACTCCACCAAGTTCCACAAGTACTCACGTTTCCTCAGCTGACCATCGACACATGCGATGTCCAAAAATGGTACTCGTTATGGACGAGGTACTGTTAATCGCTTCCAGCGCACATGAATCCTTATGTACTCTTACTCTATGCAAGTTCCCGAATTGGAACTCCTGTTAAGACTGCAAGGACAGCGATTAACGTGCGGAAACCGGGTGTCACCCCAGCTTCCCCGGATTCATGATCGTCCTGAGGTGTTTGACCTCGCCTTTCATGTTCCGCGTTCATCCAATCATGTATTATTGCTATTGCGCCCTTGCATCTGTTTCAGTTAGCAAACGTGTCACTTCATAGCGATGTGCTGCGTCACAGTCGGGAGTCAAAGTACAGGTCAAAGGGAGCTCCGAATGTGTGACGGTTCCGATGGCGCTCGCTGCGGAACAACCGGGTTCGAGAGTTTGCATGCGTTGTTGGCGCTGGAGGGCTGGAGAAAGCATCTGGTGTTCCACAAAATGACGATCAAAACCTCCTTGTCGTGCAGCGGAGATCTTGATGTGGTCAATTGCATGCGGTGAATGGCTACTAGAATGCTGCTGTTAGGGTATGTTAGTTCCATCAATATCATTCCTCCTCTATATTCAACACTGAGGACGCTCATGGCTTGACGTCAAGGTCCCGCTCTCCTATCGATATGGGGCTATTGATTAAATTGATACGATCGGACAGGTTCGTTGCTTACTTTTCTCGCCCCTCTCAAACATGACAAGTCGTCTTGTAAGATTGGGTGCAACAATACCATATCTCACCAGCTCCTGTAAAAAAGTATCGGGTGAGATGGATATCGTGTCCTCTGCTGACGAAAGCTACCCAACTCGCAACCAACATCCACTCCTCTAGTCATCGCGGCCGAGTTCTCATTTCGGAAGACATTCCCCGCGCAGGAAGGCGTGCAGACTGGCTTGAATCGGGCTGTTTTCTAACCTCTTCTTCACGACGGCCACTACATGTGGATGTGATTGCAGGGCTTCGCGTCAGCACAGCGACCACAGCGACACAGCGTACACCCCACAAATTGGTGCAGCGCAGCTGAGCATGGGGACGAGTGCACCCACGAACGCGGCGTAAGAGTGCCACACCACCGGACACTTGGCTGAGCGCCAGGGGCCCGACACTACGGCTCCGGCGTCAGCCTTGGCCACTTTGGGAACGGGACTTTGACGGGACGTGTGCCGCTGCACGAATCGCGTGGCTTACCCCTCGTCAACCATCACCAATCGCACGCCCCACGCCCCTGCGGTGCTTGATCGGAAGCCCGTCGCTGTTGTTTCGGTTGGTCGTTGCGGCTGCTGGTCGGGTCGCTGCTTGTTCTTCGGAGCGGGCCAGAATCACCAACTTCAATTCTTTCTGCCGCGTGCAGCATGAAATGGTCACTCCATCTACTGCTCCATCTTCCCTAATTATTACCGTTGGGCTCTATCAGTCCGGAAATTCGCGCAGTGCAGCAGGGAAATGCCCCTCTCACCGCAAATTCGTCGGCCCTCATGATCCCTCTCAAGATGCAACCCCCCTCATCACAGTGCAGCGAGGCGTTTCAGCCATGGCTGCTTGACGGCATGAATCGAGCTCGCTCCCGCATGAGACGTGAGACTCGCTGTCCCATCTGCCGAAGAGTGGGCGACCGTTGCCATGCGCCCGAAATTGGGCTCCAGCCTCCCTTGCCATGAGATGAAAGCCTTCCTTTTGCGTCGGTGAGGCGTACTCCTTTGGGTGCTTAGTGCACGGGGGGATTCGATGCTGGCTTCCGCACACCAGAGCATGTGTCAACCCTGCTCTCCTCATTTTGCGCGACTCAGTTGTCTTGAGAATCGAGACAGAAGTGGATGCTTTCCTGCCACCGGGACGCGGCATACCTTCCGGCGCTCATACGATTGGCAAATCAAATTCCCAGGCCAGAGTCTCGGGGCCAAAGGCTCTTCTTCGTCGCGTGGATTTTGAGCGCCAAGTATCGTCTGTTCCCCGATTGAGTTCCCCGAGGCGACAGGAAAAGCAATCGTTTCCGCTCTCGTGGACCCGGGTCCTCCCAGCATTCAGGGCATCGTGGATTCACTCAATTTCCCCAGGGGCAACAGTCACATCGTTCACCTCCCCTCTGCACAGACAGTTTGGTCGGTAATGGAGAATGCGAGAATCCCCGGTCGCCGAGGGCAAAGGACATTCGGAGTTGGGTAGAGCTGCTCACGCTGGCACTGTAGAGAGTGACATGGCGGTGACATCTCTACCAGGAATAAATGGTGTCGGCAAGGCTCCAACATGTTTCTTTTCCAACTCTCCCAGAGTTGTGGCCAGAGACCAACAGGATTCGACGAAACTCATGTCGCATGCCAGGGCAGATGCTCATGTGGACACGCCCCTGCTTGGCATCGAAAATGGAGGTGTGCATCCCCCACGTGCTTATCACAGTTGTGTCCCACGAACTGCGGGATGGGCATCTCCGCGACAACGGCTGACGGCTTCATGCATTCGATGGCCATGGGTTCTTTTGCTAAAGAATCCGAAGAGTAGCGGTAGGACTCGAAGTCTCCAGCTTCCCTTACCCAACCATGTCTGGCACGCCTCCGTCACAGTGCTCAGGGAAAGGCGAAAAGAAACCGGTTTACGTTAACAGCATTCAAAGGTCACAGTCACAGTCACGATAAAATAGCTCGCCATCGAGCTCCTTCCACTTTGGGCTGTCAGTAAATGCTTTCTTTGCCGTCCAATTGCTCCCTTCTCTTGTCTCGGTTGAAGCGGTGAAGATTCCTCCCAGCCACGAAGAAGAGCACGGCAGTTAGATAGGTTAGATGACTTCTCGTAGATTCATCGCATGTTTTCCTTTCTTGTCTCAAAAATACATTATCTGGTTTCAAATCAGCTCGTTATTTGTGTTCCGCACAATCTCGTTCAGGAAACATTCACCACTTTCTATTCGTGTTCTTCGCGTTGGTTTTGGTGACACTGCGTGCTTATCCGTCAGCTGCGCATTTGTGCTCAATATACTGTACTCAGTCCTTGGACACGCATTTCTTTCAAAAGTTCCAGACATTCGTTCCTTGCTTTGAATTCGAGAGGGTGGTCAGCGCTTGGCTATAAGCTCCGCTCCCATATTAAATGTCACCCCCGACAACTGGACACAACGCATCATAGGCCACCACAGAATGTCAAACCCGACTCTCCGGACCCTGCTGACGTTCGCCAGTCACCAATTTTATCCGCGTGGCAGCACCGTTCGTTCTGTTCATATGGATAAACAACTTCCGAAATAACTTCCCCAGGGCTTTCCTGGATCTTGCAGAGTGAGACCTCCGTGCTGGTAGTGTATTCGCATCCCAAAACCAGGTTCGCGCCATCACGAACGTGCCGTACTCTGTAATCTCTGGTCCTGACCGCTTTCCGTATTCTCAAATTCGTCGTAGTATTTCGAGAAGCCCGAGAGAACGGATCCCGTCTTACTCTCTTCGTCCCGTTGTGTTCTCCAAGCACGACCACTCGGGCACAATGGATGCCCACACATGCGGCCACGGCCCGAAGTGATGTGCAGATGCGGCAGAGCAAGCATCTCACAGTACGTACCGAGCCGAAGAGACTCTCCAATGAAGTTAGCGAATCGCTCCCCCGGTGATAGGATAAATGCATCATATCAGCCTACCGAATAACATTCGACCAACCACCCGTTTCGCAAGCCCCGGTTTTCACAATTCGATCTTTCTGATGGCTGGATATACCCGTGTCGAAAGGATTCGGACCCTTCTCCTTCAACCTTCTCAACGTTCTTCTCAACGTAGCTTTGGCGAGGCACACTTAGGTCACGCCGCAAGCTGACTGCTCGAGAGTGCATGTCGCGTAGCACCACCTGGCCAAGCACCTGTCATGAACAGCGCTGTCCCCGTTGCCACCTCCTTCAACACAACCTCCTCCTATAATAGCGCTGCTATGACCACCAGTCCTCCCGGGCATCCCTGATTGGCACATTGGCACCACGTACGCAACATTTTCCTGCATCAGATCCAGAAGGCTTCCGTATACTCCGCGCTCTTTACCCCAGGTTCTCCGAACCATAGCATCTCACCGCCCTCCGTTCCGCGCTCTTCTCCACCCGCTATACCTCGTCCATGACACACCAAATGATAACCAAAAACCCTGAGAATTCTGGAATCACACGCATGATATTACACTACCCATTGCAATATCACCAGAGTCGAGAAATGAGATATGTACCTTGCTTACGTTTCACATGACGTGCTATATCATCAAATCTTTGAAGCGCCATGCTATGATATGAACGGTGAGAAAAGGGACGGGGCGAAGCGGCGAAGCACCCGCTCCGTCCCGTCGCGTTCCTCAAAACGGATCCTTTACACTCCTCGTTCTCGCTTTTCTCCTCATACCCTGGTCCCAACTTCGCCCTTTGCTGACAGTAAGGATTCCAATCTTCTGACCTGTTTGTGTAACCTGAGGCTCAAGGCCGCTCGCGCGAACCCATCAGATGGGGTGGCATCAGCCTCGTTGCTGACCGCCACAATCGTAAGGCTGGGCAGGCAACGAGATCGCCAGGGCTGATCCCGTCTGGGGATCAGATACAGAGATCACGCGCCGTGAGAATTGGGGTCTTGTCTTGGATTGTATCTGTGGTAGCACGTTTCTGAATGTTTCAGCTGCCACACCAGCCTTCACACTCCGCACGCACGCTTTTACGCTTTACAGACCGGAGCTAAGTACCCGCATATTCCCATCTGGGTTAACCACTGGTCGAAATAGCCTCGAGAGCGAGGATTTTCAGTCTCAGAGACTTGGAGAACTCGGACCACCCTTATCCTTAACATCTGCGTTAACATCAACGGTGATGTGCCCTTTCCCGGTCCGTGTCCTCCACTACATGCAGCCCTCCAGCCTTTTATGCCTCCAGGATCACTCAAGCTCAAGCTCAAACAGGGCTTGAGGTCCCCATGTGTGCCAGCCATGCGCCTTTCCAAACCTTCTAGATCCTCTTCCATGCGTTGGCCCTATTCTTGTCACATACCCCAACAATATCTTCTCGCTTCCGGAATCCATGCATGGACAGAGAGAAGGAACAATACAAAGAGACAAAAGCCTGTTACGTACATGCAATTTTATCAATTCTCAGGGCAGCGCGCCACTGTGGTTGGTTGGATAAAGCATATTTAATCTGCGGATTTCTGGCTCCCGAGTCCGCGATTCGCAGGCAAGCGCCGCAGCGCCTCAATCTTGCACATTTGCGCTGTGCCGCACGGCGCAGTGCAGCAAATTGCGCAGACGAGAGTAAGCTCAGTGGCGAACGACATTCGTGGATCAGATTCGCTCGCTCGCTCGCATCGAGTCACGAGGCACAGCACGGAAGTCTCAACCATCTTAAACGAGTGAAATGCTGACGCTCAGAATCTTGCACTCGGTGGTAGTTGAACCGATTCACCCGAGCAGGATTCAAGTGGCGTCTCGGGGCGACCCAAGGGCTGCGGATGCTCCCTCACCGATCAGAGTGAGTGCGTTCGTGAAGGGAATTAGTGAGCGACGCGTGGAGAGTGTGATTGGGGTGGCAGATGTGATCAGTTTTCTGACTTGATGGCGAGGATGACGGTGGCGGCGGGGGGAAGGGGAACCAGTTCCTTCCTCACCGATAACGGCTTCCTTCAATGAAGGGCGTAGAGGAAGGATTATAATCATCGCTAATTCGGTCTGCATTTCTATGGGGAAGGTATGGTTCAGGTCGGCGAGCACTCCAAGTAAGACGTCGGCGTTTAGTTGTATAATCCAACACCGGGGTCCGAATTTGCTCCCCACTTCTCCAGTCCTGGTTATACTCACGGACGACCTTCCAACCAGCCCTCTCTCGGCATTATTCTCGATGGTAATGCCTCTATTCGGTGCTTTCACTGACACGTGCACACTGCACTGCCTAGGTCCCACGCACTCGTTCGCCGGATATACCCACCCATTTCATAAGGCTTTCTTACTCAACCGGGCACTCGAAATGAAAGCCGCATTATGGGATTCCAAACTGTCGGAAGCGACTCCTTCTTCTCGCTAGGTTTCTCACAAGCATCTCCATGTTCGAGCTGGACTTCCTTCCTTCTGCAATAGGTGCTTCACCTTGACGCGACTCAGGGCTGCATATCTACCCCCATATCCACATCCACCTCCACATCTAGCAAAACGTAGTCTAACCGTCGAATTATCTTCGTTCTCGGCTTATTGTAAAGGAAAGCTGCTGTGCTGTGCCTTCGACCATCCATCTAAATGATAGCGCGCATGGTGGAGGGCGGCAATGCAATACAACACAACACTGCCGTAATCTCACACCTCCCTTCCTCCCTTCTTCCAAACTCTGCAGTCTGCTATTCTAAACTCCAGGGCGGAACCCGGCCTTTTCTGCAGCCACGAACGGAGTTCGCTGAGCCTTACCACAGGGCTGGAACGACAGCGTAGTTAGCTGGCGTGACACATGAGCCTCAGCTGACACGCCGGACAGGTGTTAGAAGGATGCATCACGAGGGCTCGTGTTTGTGTTTGATTCCCTGAGAAGATGGTTTGGGTTTGGGTTTGGGTTTGGGTTTGTTGGATTTGGGATTCGGAGGATCCGAGGGTCGTCGGTAGTTAAGCAGAGAGCGATCCGTTGTGCCGAGGTCGCGTGTTCAGAGGCTTGGTTAAAGTTTTTAGGAATTTGGGTGGCTGTTGTAAGGAGTTGGTAGAAGGAAGGGTATGAGGTGATCCAGAGGGTAATTGCAGCTTTTGCATCCCGCTCGAGGTTCCCTGTACTTTTTATATGAGGCATTGTTTGGAGATCGACCGCCCATACCCTATGTAGCTTCTTGTTAGAAGTAGCTGCTGTAGGATTGTGTAGGTAAGAGATCGTTTAGCCTTTTTACTATTAATGAGATAATGGTAAGTAGAGATCGAAGGCTGCATCGAAACATGTTGATAGAAAGATCAACTAAAAGCATCACAATCTGAAGCCACAATGTTAGTCTAATGTATGAAAATCGCCCATCAAGCCATTTCTAGGTTACTATTCTGATGATCGAGGCCCGTTTCTTATCTTCTGAGGTTTTCAAATGAGAGCGAATCCTTGGAATTTTACTCTTGATTCTTCTAAAGCCCTTAGGCGTAAACGAGAATCTATCAAACTGGTTTCTCCCGTAGCAATTTCCTAGAATCTGTGGCGTGAATTGTTGCATTAATCTCCTTTACTAAGTACCCCTCCGAAGGTAGTGGTTTCCGGGTTAGGTCTTCAAAGATTATGCTCATTTGTTGATTCGTCGGGGAAGTTAGAAGCAAAGGGTACCCGAGCAGCACCAAATTTGGGTCTTTAATAGAGGCGGACGAAACTCTAATATTCCTTCTATTTTCCCTAACTATGAATGTAGAGTGTACCAGTTACTTGGTAGAGACCTAGTTCTCTTTCTCGCACGAAGATTAGGAGAAAGAAACCCAGCGGAACACAAACGGTATCGCCTTTTCTCTGCCAGTATTGCAAAAATGGATGCTAGGTTTTTCCACGAAAGTCAAAATGTAATCGTATTGTCCAGGAAATGGTACATCATTCTGTAGTAAGAAACCACACGCCTGGTTTTGTTGCACACGGTCCTATTCCGGTGAAGCTTTCAGCTGTTTTCACGAGGACACTACCCCACCGTTCTTAAGAATTGGCTCTGATATACTGATCTCGGAGAGTGCAGAATTTTCCTTGTATATAATGCTGCTGTAACCAGTAAAGAGTCAGAAAAGTTGCCGTGCCTACCTATTATAGAGAGCTGTTGTTTAACGCCAGGTTTTCGAAGACTGCATATAAAGTGGCAATTCGCATATCCAATTTGGTTCGCCTATGGCATAGACTAGTTTTTCTAGATTCTGGGGGGGGGCAAGATTCCAGCGTGTGAAGTGATTGGAATGGGCATTTCAGGTTGATTAGGTGCATGATTATCGTGTCTATACATTCACACTGGACACCGTTGCTCCCAGCCTCTGCCGGATAAGAACCTCTGCCTGAAATTTTACCGTTCAAACTGCTGAACTGAAACGCAACGGTGTTTTGGGACGTACCAAGCCCATTCAGTACATCCGCGAGCCCAAATATAGTAATTCTCCTTCGCAACGAGAAACTCGCTTCCGAGGTGCTTGAGCGTGCTAACGCAGTGGTGCCTTTGCCCTATCTTGCTGAGCTGATGGCTTCGTCTCTCTAAATAGTCTTGGTTGACGAACAACTGGTCGATTCACAGGGTTCGAGTGTGAGTTTCATTCTGGAGGTGTCGGAGAGCGAATTCTAGGGTTCGACCTAACCTCAGCATCCTCAACGATATCCCTTCGAGAGACATGACACTTAGTTCCATTGGGCTTCTTGAGAGCCTCATGTAGATCATAACGCTCCAATTCTTATTCCTGGAGCAGACCAAAGGTTGCTTGGAAAATCAGGGTCGGAATGACTCTAACTCGTACTGGATTCTAGGTCTTCAAATGGAATGCGGCTGTCCTCTGTATTAAGAGGATCCTATCGAAGAAGTATTTCTAAACGTGGAATTAGCTCAATATCTCTAGGCAACGCAAGACTCCCTCCCGAATCAGCGGAATTTCCCCCTTGTGCAGGAAAGTGCGCTGTACTGCGGAACCGACAAGGAAAATTAACTTCCCCTTAATATCTAGCAGCTACTTTCTACATTAAGATGTTACTGTAGACGCTTTAGTTTTGATATCGACGTCGGGAGCCGGTCTAGAGCCTGCGAGTCAGAAGCCCAACGGATCTGCCTTCTTATGGACTCACTGCTACATCTCTATATGCTTCTGAAGGAACAGAGAGCGAAACCAGGAGAGAGGGGGTAGATCGCTTGGATGGCTATGGTAGTGGGTCTACGAATGGAGAAGTATGCCGGTGATGACGTTCAGAATTGGAAAGAAACCCTAACTGTGATCGACGCTAGCGTATTCCTGGGGCTTACAAACCATTCCCCTTCACTTGAATATCGTCGGATAGGACGGAACGATAACGGAAGCCTTCTGATGACATCCTAAATCAAATTTTATGAGATGTTGCTCTCATTTCATTATGGAGTTTTTTGATGGCCGTTAAGGCAGGAATTGAACCTCCCTTCCAATCTCTCTAACCTAGAACTCTGTATTCTACTAGCCTTCCCTATTCATTTTACAATACCTTCCTCTGATTCCGCTTTCGGGCTATTCACTCGCCAAATAACGGCAATTTTAACACCAGTTCCTTCAACCACCTCTTGGATAGTGCGCAACTCCCTTTTACCAACAAAACCTCAAAAGTTGAAATTCGATTCTATTAATTTGGCTGCTAAAAATGCATTCAGATACCAGCCATACCATATAGACACAACTGAGATTGGCACGCTTTGGTCCCTCAGTAATAGCCTGAGGAATGAGTGAGTGATTTTCCTTTCTTCTCTTCTCCATGCCATCCATCAACTCGAGGAAGTTGGAGACTGGAGGTTTCTTCTGGGAATACTGGCTGATACAGCTCACTCCACTTCTATCGATACAATTTGGTCCAGCAACTCACAATCAGATAACCAGCACTCAACCGCATTTGCACCGCGCAACACTGCTTCCAATGAAATTGGTTTCAACCGAACCGCCACAAGTACCCCACGCGCCACAATTCTCGCCTCTTGTTCCACTTCAAAACCTTGTTCAAATCAGCAAGCTCATCCTTTCGCCGAGGTTAGTAATGAAACTAAGTCCGACTTTACGGATTAACATGATGGTGGTGTGACAACCCGACCCGATCTCGGACCCACGCCCTTCATCACATCGCATCACATCCCCAAATTAGAAGTCGATAGCCCCAGTGAGCCAGCCAGACGACCAAAGAGTTGGAATCCTGGTGTACTGGAGTCGCCGAAGTATGAGAAGGCGGCCTGAGGCGCTCGAGTATGCGGTGGTGTCGACTATGGGGCGTCTAGCATGGGATTCCTGACGGAGAAGGCTTCCACATGTTGATGGGGTTGGTGGGGCAGTTGACGTGGCTTGGATAGCTTCCGTGAGTGATGGAATTCTGCATTAGCAATTTTCAAGAGCGCTGGGCTTCCTGAGATATGCAGGGTTGCTTCTTCATGCACTGGGAAATATGGTTCCGCCACGTCTCTCCATTTGGAAGAGGTCCTTCGTCCACAAACACCGATATCCATCTCAAACCTTCTCTGCTGCTCCTGGCACCCCTTCTCTCGGCTTCCCTGATATAGGGCAACGGCCGTTGCTTTTTTAGCCCGCAGCCGAGTCAGATAGCTTCCGTCGCGTCGCGTCCCGTCCCTCCTCCACCATCTCTTCGCCGAACATGTCTCCCGAACCCGGGTCACACTACCCAACTTCCCTGATTAAACCACTCGATTGCCCTTCCAACGCAAGCCCGAGCAAAATAGCTCCCGCCAACTCGAGACTCGCTTCCTTCCTCCCACCACAACCCCAACCCTCCCCAACCGCCTCTTCCTCACTCCCATCCTAGTAACCGAACCCCCATGCGCCAGATCCACCCCAGAAGACTAAACCCCTTCGCTACCTCTTTCTCACCGATCAGAACCCTCCACACCCTAGTTCTGAGCTCATACCCCTGGCCGTAAACTCTCCAGGATTGCTCTGCTCACCGCCCTAACCGACACCATGAGCCTCCTCGCACACAGCTTTTCTGCGAAATAACCTGTCTCAAGTTGCCTGCTCGAACGAGGGCGGCATGACCCATCCCAGCCCGCTGCCTTAGGACTCTCGCCCGCCATTTTAACCCTTCTGGGATGGTAAGTCAGACAGGCCGCAGAGAAAAAGCCTTGCTAGAAGGGAGGTCCGCTGGTTGCGGCTACTTCACCACAAGGCTCTGGAGGCGTACATGTGAAGATAGTACTATATTGGAAGTAGAGTGGATATTGTGTAGGTATGGGTATCTGACTGCATATTGTTACGCCAGAGGACGCTCTGAGTACATCCGACATGTCGAGGGCGAAGTCTGTAAAACGATCAGATGTGAGGGTTTTGCGATGTTTAAATAACATCGCAGTGTCTGCATGCGGTTGGGTTTCTTCGGGTATTACGAGTTGAATGTTAGGTTAGATCAGGGCAAGAAAGAGGAAAATGCAATGGAGTACAGAAAGCCCCGCTGCGGAGTTCTGAGCCTTCGGGATTAAGGGAGCGCTGAGGATAGAAGCTGGAGGAAATGAAAGGATTTGTTGGTGTGGGTGTGGAGAAGGACCAGCCATAGTGGATGTGACCCAAGACACTTGAAGTTGGAGGAGGTTCTGAGATTCAGAGACCCAGATATGATAGAGAACTAGCTAGAAGGTTAGGGCAACCATTGCACTTTCGGCAAGCGGAGTGGACACAAACTATAGGGGTTGATTTGACCAATTCTTCGTCCACCCAGACATACCCCTGCTACTTTGCTAGAGAAAATCTGATGAAATTGGATATAGGAAGGGTATAAGTATAATAATGTCCTAAAAAATATGTGACATCTCTCTAAATCCCGTCAGACAGACCTACTTCGTTGATTGACTGTGTGATAGACTTCCGCGAAATACCTGGCAATGTCCACCCATGAACCCACCCATATCAGTCTAAATGATCTGAATTCCGATGAGGCGTGCTATGGCATGGATAAAGCCGTCCGTATAAAGGCATGCCGACAGCAAGGATTTCAACAGTGCGTTCTCTGGGTTTGACCTGAGCTGAACCCAGAATCTGTGATTTGCACTAAAAGAGTGGGTTAACATCTTGCAACCATAGAACAACGACTCGACTCACTTAATGGCCGCCGTGAAATTCGCTGGCCGCAAATCTCCCAGCATTCAGTGCACTACCCATAATCCCGTCATATCCATGGCACCCCATGCCCTCCGCTATGAGGCTGCAACTCAAAATCCCAAGAGTCTAAATTCGTCATCTGGTTATCCATACCTCCAGCCGCTCCTGTTCCCCCTGTACCATTCCAACCCGCCATCCCCAGACTACCGTGATACTCGCCCCAGCCTCCTTGCTGCGCAAAATCAAGAGTACTGTAGGGAAATAGATCATCGATATTCAAGGGAATCACGTTCTGCGTAATCACGCCATCTTGTCCTTGCTGCTGGCTAAGGACAGCCGTGACGACATGTACGATATCTTTAAGATCGTCTGCGACGCGGCGTGCAGCTTGAAGGTAGATGGCTATATCATGGAGAATCGAGACGCCGTCGCGGAAGCTGTCTGCGTAGGCGGACTGCTTGTCTTGCAGGCCTATGGAGGCCAGGTCACGGACAAGGAGTGTTGCAAGGATAAGAATTGCACTACCGAGCGAAGCTGTCATGTGGAAGCGGAAGGAGCTTGGGGCTTTGGCTTCAGGAGTGTGCGCTTTGATTCGTTGCACAATGTCAATGGCTAGGTCACCGCAGAGTCGTCCTGTGCTACCGTCGTATTTCAATCTCACCATCGTCCTTCGCCTTAGCAGCAACCTAAGATGATTTAACCGCGTGTGGACGAGGACATGTTGCCGTAGATGTCTGACCTCTGGCGGCTGATCAGTAGGAAGGAGCGGGATCGTGGGCAAAACAGCTTCAGTCCAGTGCTTGATCCTTGCATCGAGGACTGCCGCGTTCTCGCCATCTACACCGCGTCGGGCGGCTCCAGGGGCAAACACTTGGTCCCAGACATCGCCGGCGAGTTTAGCCCACGAGACCATACAGGTGAGGTACATGTTAGAAGAGCGGGAAACGTTAGGTTCGGGGAGTGGCTGATCGGGGTAGAGTTCCTAAGTGCTTTGTCAGTCCGGCCCATAGGAACGAATTGACCGGAGTACCTTGTCGTATATCCAGGATGGTTGCTCAACGTCGATGTCAAGATCTCGAATACCATACGGACGCCCACAGCTCAGTGCTATGCGCCGGTCGGTGAAGTATACTGTCCAGAATATAAGTTGGCGCACGTGCACGGCGTAGGGACTACAATTTCCCCAACAGGACTGTTGGTGCAGGCCGAACTGGAAGCAAAGCCTACAGGCAAGACCGATCACATTATAAGCTGCATTGGGTTTGTCGGCATGGATGAGATAGAAGGCCTACAACAAGTGAGTACCATGAGTCCGGCGCAGAATCCCTCTGGTAGTTGGCCATACCTCGTAAACAAGAAACTGTATCAGACTCAGATCTCCCCTTCCACAAAACTTCCTCTTCCCGACGAGCTCATCGGCGGTTTGAAACCACTTCCAACCAGCAGGCTTGCCATTTACGCTGGATGGTGCTGTATCGACCAGAACATCTGAGCAAGCAAAGATGATATAATTCAGCGCTAGAAAGCTGATGTCACTGTTGTGTATGATTCTTGAAATCAACATCTTCTCGCTCCGTGCTCGGAACTCTGCCTCGTTTACACAAGGGAGGCACAGATTGATGTCCGCGAAGAAGAAATCAATGTACTTCTGAAAGTCGGCCGGGCTCGGAAAAGCGAGACAGCGTAAACCGACGCGGACGCTGGAAAGAGACTCAGTATTGCCCGAGGGGCTAGCTGCCGATACCGAGGGCCTGGAGCGGGTCTCGGTGTAGGTGGGCATCTCCTGCATAAAGCCAAGTTGTTGCCTGACAGAGGCCAGGTTCGCACTGAAGGTTTCCATGGGTGCATGGAACGCAGCATCGCTCTGGAAGCCATCGCCAGCCATATCTTCTCTCTCCATACTGCCTCTCGTCGACACGCCGCTCCCGCCGCGTTCTTGGATCAAAGCCTCCATCATGCCCTCGATTCTCGCCATGCGCGCCTCCATAGAAATGCCCCCTAAACTGGCATCACTGGCCCTGCGCTCCATACTCTCATTTCGTGGTAAGATGCTCCTCCGCTGCACGCCATTTCCGTTCCCGTTGAGGTTGATTGGGGGCTGTACGGGTGTGGGTCGACTGAGGTTCTGCAGCGCCTCGGCCGCCGTCTGGTCCTCCGAGTAAAAGCATCTGCGATTGCCGTCTACACATCTCGAACATGGGTTCTCTCCACTACACTACACGCGCTTCATCAGCACCTCTCATTCCTATTTCATGTGCAATGACATACCTTGAGTTTCGAGCGTCGGCAGGACACGCTGCAAGCATCCATTAGTATCGGCGCGCGGAACGGTCGGAATTAGCGACGGGAAGGGTGCGAGCTGGTATGCACGACTCACCATGCCTTGGGCGCGTATTTTGCCCGGACTTTCTTGCGCTTTGGTGACGGGGGCGTATCATCTTCGATCCGAGCCGTGGACGAGGTCTGGTCATTCATGGTGGTGAAGAGGTTGCTCGTCGGGGTTTGAAGGAAGGGTGAGAGCCTGCCGTGGCGCCATACATCTCGGAAAGAAGGGGGCCGGAGCCGATGTGTGGCACCAGCTCATTTATCAAAGTCCGTCAACAACATTAATTTATGGTAATGTAAGAGAGGAATTTACATCCTGTTGACATCCTTTCTGACTCTAACAAGAGGCGTGGCTGATTAAATATGTCCTGCTAATGTTCTATGGTAAGGCACGAATATGATAGGGATGCGACTTCACATGCCATTCCCGAAAAATAGATGGCATGATCTCTATACAAACTTTGCATTCAGCATCACAACTATCTTTTGCATTCGGTTACTTGAGGTGGAATATTGTAAAGAGAATTTAGGACAGAAATATGCATCCCGTTAACCCTCCCCTTGCTTCCAGCAAGCGGTTCGACAGATCAGCCCGCTTGTTTAATGTTCATGGTAGGTCCGAATATGCAAAAGGTTCCGTAGGAATGCGACTCTACTGTCATTGCTAAGATCATGCCGCCCCCTAAATCGAAACTTAACTTTAGAAGACAATATTCAAGTATACCAGCCGTAAGATAATTTCTACTGTACCGCAATGTCCAACCTCGCCTCTCAACCAAGGCAGCAGCAAGCACTAGGCACTAATGGATGCTACCTATAATGTGATACCTCTTCATATGAAAAGGTAGTACCGGGCTGATAATGCTGTAGAAGGCCTTGAAGACCGTCTTCAAAAAAGATAATATTCGATATAATGCACTTCGTAATGCCGATTCATATCCCCCGTACTAGACAATGGCCAAGTTCTTTAAAGGGCATCCAACGGCTCTGACGCGTTCGGCTGTTGTTCGAGTTATCTAGAGGATCTAGCGAAATATCCTCTAGCATGTGGGACTCTAGACTCTGGCCTGAAGATGATGAGAGGGGGGCAGTTGAAGGATGAGTATGCTGGAAAGTTAATAGCTTGCTATATGCTCCGGTAGTACCCTCAAGGGGATGAAAGGACATCTTGAACGGGATTTAGGATTATGGTACAATTAATGCTAGGCCTGTCTCCAGCCAACTCAAAGCTAATATGTGCCTAAGTCCCTAGAAGCATTGAGGTAGGCTCCACGGCGAATAGGATCAGCACACAACCAAGACTTCCTGACTATCTATCCGCAAGATCAGAACTCAATGATATCGGCTTGGTTCTGAGATGGAAAAACTCGGATATAACGGCCTTTGTCAAAGGAGGCATTGTTCGTACTGTATGCTAGCTTTCGACGGAAGAAGACAATCGCCTGCCCTTATTCATATTAGAAGTTATGTAACATCCTCTTCATTCTCACCACTTCTAGCAAGAGAGTTTGAAGGCTATACCCTAGATCCACTCAGTAGCGCCCTAAAGAAGCTACAGGAAGTGGGAATTTGTAATCTTTAACTAGTCATAGTCCATGAATGTTGGCGTTATACCATCCAGGATAAGCTTGGACAACTTTGTCATCCAAACTTCAGCTACTATCCCAATCCGCGTTTCTGATTTCCAAAATGTGACTAAGGCCTCTACCAAATAATCTCAATCCTTAAGTTCGTTTATACGAGCCAATATTCATACCATCTTATCTTGGGACCCCAGATGTCAGAGAACGCGCAAAAATCGACAAGCGTATAAGAATCCATAACAGGTGATGAATGCCATAACTCATAGCCGTCGTGCGCGCCGATTTTGGTGAGCTTTGAGATCGGAACGTACTTGGAACGACTTCGTCGGTATCGGGTTTCGTGAGTAATGCCCCTAAAAGCTACAATAACAGCCTTGTATCATAAGGTACGGGCTATAAATAACAGAAATTCACGCTTAGTTTTACACCCGATGAAGAAGACATTAATTATCATAGTCTGTGTCTGTAGATTCGGAAAGCGACAGATAGGAGGGGGGAAAGCCGGAGAAATTAGCCTTGTCGCCTTTTCTACTAAATAATAGAAAGCCAAAGGCAGGGATTGAGACAAGCAACATAGACCGGTGAAAATTTTCTTCGGAGCTTTCCTGCTTACAGCTAAGTTTTACCAACTATTAATACAGGCATGGGATGCGGCACTGTCCACGACGGCCTTCGCGACTTGAGCGTGAACACAGCCTCACGCAAATGTCCTCTAAAAGGCTCTTGGAGGGGTTCCCATCCCATATGATCAAACTATTCTATAACGTGGTATGGTAGTATCGTATACTAGGATATGTGCGCAATATCATCAGTTTAAGGATTTTGAGTTGGGGAAGTTCCCGAGGATGAATAAGGGTTCGAGAAAGGAATACGGCTGGCCGTAAAGAAGGTACAATAGGTGCCAAGAAGTCATCATCCTCTCGCTTAACTTACTATATCGGGTCAACCCACACACCTCAAAATTTTCCGCACCACTTGTTCTCCTCCTTCTCCACACTACTAC